AAGGTGGAGAGGGGGGGGGAGGAGGGGCAATTGCCGCATTGAGGAACCGGACCCTAACCCGACTTCTGTTAAGTTCCAGCGGCATCGGTCGAGTTGGGCAGCTTGTGTGCGTCGCCCGCGAGAATGCGAGTAGTCATGGTATGGTAAGACAAAGACAGCCTAGTCTGCTGGTATGGATGAGGTTTGGCAACTTGGCTCTCTAGTTGTGGTCTTTATTAGCCGCTTTCGATCAGGCAAATGTCTAGATGGTGGGAACTGGAAAGAAGAGAATCTTCTCTGCCCAGCGGCCTGTGTATGATGACACTACCTGCCATAAGGCAACTGGTACAAGATTGCCATTCACCACGCATGAACTACGGTAGATTGGCCACGGGGTGTGATTGGCTGGTTTTGTGTGGATTCTCCTGTTGCAGGTCCCCTTATGACGATGTGGAGCATATTCCTGAATCTCTGGCACAGCCAAGCGGGGACCCGGGCAGAAGACCAGGCTTCTCCATGTTGGAATTCAAAGAGGACTAGAAGAAAACAAGCTTTAGCATTGGGCAGAATCATGGACTGTGGCTTGTAGACTGAAACCTTGTACAACGTACACACCTTGGGCTAAGCTACAAAACACCACCTATCCAGATACCTACCCATCCTACACAAACTCATAACACAAATAACCCCCCTTGATATCCATCACATCCGCCACCGTCGCATTTGGAATGATCCCCAACGAAGACATGACATGCCCCAAAGTAATCTCCTTGCCCCCATCACCACTCGTCGGATCCGGCGTCACGGCCAAAATCTCAGCAGTAGGCTTCCCCCACATGGCAGATTCCACCTCCATACCACCCGGAAACTCGGAAAACCCCACCGCCGGATCCTGCGCGTTGAGCCCGCTGATGTCCTTGAGCCTCGTATTGAGATCTTTCTTTTGCCAGTCCCACCACATCTTGTCCACGAAGCCGTGATGCAAAAAGAACAACGGGTCGCCTGACGAGGTGATTGAGTCCCCGTCCATCATTGCCAGCGCCATGTGCCCGACGAGATGAGGGCCCGAGTAGATGGCGTCCAGTGCCTGGCTGTAGGTTGGCCCGCTGATCGCCGAGGCGACATAGGTGGCACCACACTGTGTGCTGAGGGCGTTGGTGATGCGCCGGTTGACGCAGCGTGGTTGTGACTTGAACCCTGGGCCGATATTGACGGTGAGGTTTGCAAAAGGGCCATCAGCCACGCAGTTCTTTGAGCCTTTACCGGTGCCGCCGAAGCCAGTGACGGGATCGAAGACGGGGCTGGAGGAGAATTTGCCTGCGTCGCGGGTCTCGTCCCAGTAGGGGAGGGGGCCAGAGTAGCCGCATTCTTTGAGGAGGAAGGCGAGGATGTTGATGTAGTACCGGTGATATGGGAGGAACTGGCCCGTGGTGTGGATTTGCAGGGCGTGAATTTGGTGAAGAGAGACAAGTTCGTCCCAGCGGGTTTTGGCGCCGGGGAGGCGGTTGAGCTTTTGGGGAGATTTGAGGAGGCAGACGTTGGCGGCGAGGTAGGCTTTCTTGTCGGCTTCTTTCATGTCATGCCATGAAGGACGTTTCTGTGGGTTGGTGCATGCTGTGGCTGCGGGCACGGCGGCGCTGAGAGCGGTGCTGGCCGTGAGCAGGGCGATGAAGAAATCTCGGAGCATGTTGCCGACTTTTTGGGTTCACTTTAGAGTCCAAGCCAGGCAGGACATTTTGGCGGTGCATTCGAGTTCAGATATAGATTTTCAGCATTTGACTGGTTTGTGCGTGTGCCCCAGTTGTGTCAGACGATGGAATCATGGATATTGACATACCTACATCAACTGTGCCAACAGAAATTGAATCTTCGGTTGCGGATAAATCTTGGGTGGCCATCTCCCCACAAAAGCAATTTCCAAGTGCCGCCCGTTCCTGCCGAGCGCTGTTGACTAGCAGCAGAGTATTATTTGGAGAATTTGCTTCCGAGCTTTTTCTGCGGTTGGTGGCTTCATGTTAACCCCATTGGTGCGCATCTACAACACATAGCCTGTCATATTCAGTATTACGTGGCCAAGGAATTGAGGCTAGATTTCTGTTGTTCTTACAGTACAAATACATCTTCAGTCAGGTGTTGAGAGTAAGCCGACGCTCTGAGGTGGTCTCTTCATCTCCTCCTTCATCCTCTTCCCACTCTGCATCCTCTTTCGGGCCATCCACTTCTTCATCCTCCGTAACTGGACCAGGATCCGGAGGCACAAGCACTTCGGGATCATCCGTGATACTAAGAAACTTTCTTCTCGCTTCCAAATGTGACCTTTCTCCCGCCCTTAGAACGGTGTTTGTAGTACGTCGTCGTGGGCTCGAATCACCAGGCGAGATATCATCAAAAGTTGAGGAGGAAAACGTTATATTGCTAAAAGAAGAGAATTACCCTCCAAAGCTGAGCAAAGCCTATAAATTATCGTCCTCCACCAATCCCCACTTATCGCCCCACATGTTCCAACACCCTATATTATATCGAAAGGAGTTTTCAAACTGCTCAAAGTAATGCTTGGGTGTGCAGCGCTCGTGACCAGGCATGTATGTGAACCTGGAAGAGTACTCAACCTGCAGTTTCAAAATGGTTGTTCAAGCTTTTCCCTGGTGGTAAGTATGTTGTCTCCTCGAGCCGGGTCGTCTTTACTGGCTGGGTCGAAGTTCCCGATCCCGTCTTCTGACCATTTCTGGGGTATGCTGGAGAGGAGGATAGCGTCACACTTCAGTCCAGCCTTTCCTCCATCAGCATCCGACGGAGAAGACTCGTGACAATGACCCTTCCACTTTCCTGGGGCGATTCTACCAAAGGTCTCATCTCTGAACCCTACACAAACGGCCCCGCTCGAGGGACTCGGAACGGTTGCTATCTATGAGCTCTGGAATGAGGTCAATAACGCTGGAAAAGATGGCAACAAACGGGCTGGGTAGTACATACCTGGAAGGTCCGGCAGTCCACAGTCCATTTCTCCTGGTGTTGTGAGCAAGAGACCTAGATCTCAGTTGTCGTCCTCGGTTCTAAGCAACCACTCTTTGATTTCCTCGTTTTGGGATTGGCTGGTGTCTCCAGACCTAGTCTGCTGTTCCGATCCTTCCTCTTTTGTTGTAGCTGCTTCCTCGCTTCCACTTTGCTCGACCTGATTGGATTCAGCAGGAGCTGGGACAAAACAAGCTCGATGAAGTCTTTCAACTGCATCAAATACAACTTCTCAACACCCAAGTTCCAGTCAATACGCATCATCCACACTCTTTCTTCTGTCCTTACCTCTTCTTCCAATCTGTCTCGTATAGCCTTGAGCCATCGCGAAACCCAGGGGCCGAGCTTCCGAGATAGGGCGTATTTGTCCGCCAACACAAGGATGCGGTACAATTCCTCTGTCGACGGAGATGAAGGAACAGATTCAAAATTGCCGTGCGTGATATGGAACAGGGTTTGCATATCGCAGGGTGAGTCCTGAGGCAATGACACGGTCTCCAAGACAGACTGGATGAGGAAGATGGCTTCCATGATTCTGCCCAGAGTCCTCCAAATAGCATCGCCTTGAACGCCGGAGAAGACCGCTGCAGGGCTCAGGAGCACACATGAAAGTTTGTTGGGTTTTGGATTCTAGGGCGCTGCCGGTGCGCAGTATTAGATCGCCATCCGGGCGACCAAGACGGTTGTGACCCCTTCGATATGGGGCTCCCGCAGTTGATGGCGTTGGTGTCGTAGCATTGACATTTTGTGAAGTCTGTTTTTCTTGAGATAGAAGGAGAAGAGGAATCTGGTAAGCGAGTCATTTTGAGGGATTGGTCAAGCTGATGCTGCCTTGCTGGTGCGCTGTCAGGTTGACAGCTTCATGCCATCCGATTGCTCTCTAGTGGCATGCCAAGCCCAATTTATCCCGTCCACGTATTCGACCCCAACCCGCCACGGCGACCAGCCTTTCATCTCTGCTACATTTTATGGAACGAACTCGACAGTTTGTAGGAAAGGTAGTGTTTATTCCAGTGGATGGTATCAGCTGATGTTGAGAGAGTCGGATTTCCAGTTGTCAAGAGTGTTGTTCTGTGTTGATCGGCGTTAGCAGCGGCTCTCGGAATTTGCCGAGATGTTCTTGTCGTTAAGAAAAAGATATGGCAGCCTGTCAAGAAAAGGTCCAATACTGTGACTGGCACTGCTTCAGCCTCAACCGCTGTTTTGGGTGAAGTTATCACGACCTCTAGAATGCTGAATCCCTGACAGACCAGGAACTGTGAAGAGGAGAGTTATGACGTCATATGCCCGGCAAAAGTGTGCTAGACTGGAAGAGGCATGCCAGGAGGCCAACACGGGCCACAGCCGCCCGTTGAGATGGATCTCTGCCAGGGATATCCATGTGATCAGGGGAACAACGATCCCATGAACGACCCCTATCCGGCGAGTTCCAGGTTTCTGGCCTGTTGTGTGACGGCCACGACAGATCTTCTAGAAAATCTCGACATGGCCGTTGTATTTACCCTTCTGATCTCACGTCCGTCCCTTCATCTCAGCCCCGAAGTCGCCTGAAAATCCCCCGATGATCTTCCCTCGTTCCTCCGCCCTGGCCGCGGGGTTGATAGGGCTGACCCCACTCACAGCTGCTTTCGGGACCATCAACGAACCGGTGGGCAGTCATCCCTTGTTTTGGCAGTCCTTGAGGAAACTCACTGACACCTCTTGTAGGTAATCCTCGGCCAGCATAATGAACATGAAATGGTTACACGACTCGCCTTTCAGTGCCCAAGTGGCCAGAAAAGCGATGGGGTGTGTTTTGAGCCCCGGTCGCTCGATCAACTGGCAGGCTATCATCGAGAAGTGATGGGTGTAGCCCTCCCCGGAGCAGGATTTAATGGCGCGGTCGGAGCTCCAGATACCCTCGACCCGGTACCTGAAGGACCAGAAGCGCACTGCGACGATGCCGATTTTGTCGACATTCCGGGATACCCGCAGAGCCGGAAAGAGGCCAACAAGAATCTCCAAAAATGTGTCGATCACCTACGAGCACGCTTCCGACAGGCATGGGTATCAGCGGAGATGCTTGTCGATGAAAGGCGAAGGATCCGGCCCGGGGAGGTCGAGCTGACGAATGCTTTTGGTGGAGACTGCAATTTTGCTTTCCCCTCCCTTCAGATCAATGTCTTTGCGCGAGCCAAGTGTAGCACTCTCGAAGGGTTTGGCCGCGCGTTACATGGTGTTCAAGACTTTTACTCCCACAGCAACTGGGCTGATGAAACCGACACAAGCAAACCCATCAGCGAGACCAACCCACCAGGGCTTGCCTTGCATGGCACCGCGAAGTTTTTGGACCTGAGGGCTTCTGGGCCGATACCAGAAGATCAGATCCCTTACAACCTAACAACGGGTTGCTTCACGATACCAGACGGGACTCCAGGATCCGGAGACTGCGCTGGTCGGGTGACACATCATGCCCTAAACAAAGACCATGGTGTCATTCACCTAGATGGAACTTTTGGTGATGCGGGGCCCGGGTCTCCTCGGAGCGAGGCCATATCAAGGAACTTTGAGAACGCCGTACGTTGTGCGGTACAAAGTTCCAAGGAGACCTGGGCTGCGTTTCGCGAACACCTCAGGGAGCAGTACGGAACTGTGGCCGGCAATCTTATGATCTGTGCTCTGGTGCGCGATGATCCAATCAAAGATTGTCGCAAACGGATGGCTGTCATTGCCCTGGATGCCTCTAGCAGAAGCGGTGCTGTTGAGGCATCTGGCTTGCAAGTTCAGATTGCTCAAGAGTTCAAGTTGAAGTTATCTTCACATGGGCTGGACCGAATTGAAGTCATGGAGTTTGCCGAGGCCCCCAAGATTGTTCACCCTATGGGCTTCCCAGAGTCGGTGACCTTTAGTGAGCTGGATACTAAAGGAAGGACCAATATCGGCAACGCGCTTGACGTTGCCATTGACGATATCATCCAGTCACAGCCGGACACGTACACGGACAGAGGTGCCGTAGTGCTCCTGACGGCGGGCGCGGAACCCGAAAACACGAAAGAAAACCAGGAACTGGCTGAATATGCCCTCGCCCAAGTTGAACGCGCTGCCAAAGAAGGTGTCCGCATCCACTTCGGTTGCATCAATCCACCACGGCCATTCAATGATGATCCAGATCGGTCTTGGCATGAATGTGCCCCCGGTCACTCGATCATCCCCGCTGTCCTCAAAACAGGCGGCACTTTTGCTTACATCAATCATGTTGCGGGGAGACCAGATCTCACACCGGCCCCGCACTTCATTAGCACCATCATGTCTCGTGGCCTAACCTCCACTGATGAGTATGAGCCCGAACTGACCCGAATATACCCTGGAATCACCATTGCCGCCCTTCTCAGCGCCAAAGATTACCCCTCCAAATCCTTGTTCTACCCGGCCAGCCCGTCAGAAAGGATCAACATTACCATTCGCGACCGGGCTCTAGACGGCCAAGGCGTAGCCAACGGTGGAGGTGGCTGCTTCTCCATCACACTCCGCGACCGAAAGCTCGACGATCTCAAGATAGCAACCTACACCAGCTGTGGTACCGAGCCATTGATGCTGAACTACGAGGCGCTACAGGACGTTGATTTGTTGGTGGTGGCTGAGCTGGGTGATCCGCATCACCCGCAGCAAGAGGGATCACCGAACCCACAGGGCGTTGTGTTCACATTGGAGCTGAGCAGTAACATGCCGGCAAAGAATGAGACATCTACCATGACTACGTCGAGTGTGGTGAGCTCCAAGGCAACGCTTAAAATGACAGAGGAGGCAGGAATCAAGACCGAGGAGTTCTTGACAAGTGAGACGGTTGAAGTGTTTGAGGAGGCGGCGACGGTGAATGGGACTGCGTCGACGACGTCGAAGGGGAGCCATACGGTCAGTGGGGGTGATGGGGTAACTGGGAGTGCAATGCCAGCTCAAGAAGCGATGGTGACTGGCAAGGAAAGTATGGCTAGTATGGAGGATGTATATGTGACGACGATAGCTGGGAATTTTAGCGGGGAGGATGCAGATGATATTCCGGACTTGAGGTAGATAGTTGTGGAGTACGAAAGATGTTGGAAATGATACCCTTGTTATGTCTTTTGATGCCGGCATCAGCGCCGATTGAGTGCTGCGTAGACATCTGTGAGGCCTGGACACTGACCCGCTGCCTTTTTCTTCCACTCATTCCGCAGGCATCACCAACATCACCAGTTTGCCCACGCATTCGTCGCGTCTCAGAACATCTACTTCACAGAGTTGCTAGGACTCTCTTTGAATAGGGGACAGAAAGATAGGTAGGCAACTGATTCTGTGAGACAAGCACATAACTGTTAAGAAGAGAGTCTAACAGTTCAGGCTAAGGTACAAGGATGTTTCGAGTTTAAGTGCCTGGGTACGCACCTATGCACAATCTATCTGAAGAAATGAATAAAGTAATGATTAGCTACTCATATGTCTATCTGTCTATCCAGAAGAAAAGCGAAACGTGCTGATCCATACCGATCAAAACGTCCCCAACCACCATAACCATGACCCCATGCTAAATAGAAAATCGTCCCCTAGGGGACTTCCACATAAGCGTGAGGCTTCGAGACATCCGGGACAGACCTTGGCCAGATCAAAGCAGAGAGCGCTGCGAACAAGGGCATGACGGAGCCGAGATTGTTGACACGCGGATAGACAGACTCGCATGGGGCGTAGATGCGGACCGGGCGACCATATAACGCGGTCATTTCATCGAAGTAGAAAGATTGCAATTCTCGAATGTCTTGCTCGGTGACGTGCACAGGGGGATAGTTCATGATGCTGTGGTTGTTGGGCCTCCCGTATGTAACCGACCATTCAGCTTCTTTCCAAGAGGCAAATTCGTGACGTAGTCCGAGGATGTGACCGACTTCGTGAGCGAGGATAGAGATTTGGGTCTGAATATACTTGTCGCTAAATGCCAGGCCGTAAACATGTAATGTTCGTTGCTCAGCTGCCTCATTGTTTGGGAGGAATGCTCTCGCAAGTGTGGTGCTGGAGCCCTCCAAAGGCTGATCCATATACACCACACGAAAGTGGGCTGGGCTGTTCCGGGACACCTCCTCGAACCTCACAGGAATAGCTGCGTATTTTGCGATTGCGGCTTGAAGATTGGTCCTGCAGAGCGTAACGGCGGTCTTGTCACGGAAAGACTCCTCGCAGATAACGTACTTCAGAATCATGCCAAGACGCCAGCGTGGTACCTCATCGATCCAGCCAACCTGTACGCGGAGTGCAACATCGATGCCGGGTGATTGTGTCGAGCAGTCTGGCTTGAACATTTCGGTTTTTGAGGAGGGACTGTTGAACCGGCGAATTCTGACAACAACGGAGATTACCAAGATGGGCAACCAGGCCAATGACCTGCTGTATTTCCTTCGGGTGACAAAGGAAGCCACTAGAAGAACAATAACAGGGAGGGTGACGACCAAAAAGGTAGGGTATTTTTGGGGTTGTCGAAGAGAAGAGCTTTCAGAATGAATGGGCCAACGATCAACCTCGTTGACATTGATGGCCACAGGGCGAGATAGGCCTGCATGATGTGTGCAAACCTCACAACCACTAGCGCAGGCCGCGTCTTGCTCAATTCGATTGTTGTCAACAATACAGTTGAGGGCTTTCCATTTGTGTCGAATGCATTCTTGTTGCTCATTTTCATTACTGAAGTTGGGAATTGTGAAACCGGTGGTTACTTAGTCCTCATCAGCTTTCTGGGCCAATAAATTATCTGTGCTACCTTACGTACCAAGCGCCATGGTGGATTCCACGGGTGAACAGCGTGATATTAGTATTCAGTTACCAGAACACTGTGCGTAAAGTTGGATGGAAGAATTGAATGAAGTGAAGGTGTGGTTTGAAATGATAGTGCGGTCAAAGCATACCTTATAAGGCACATGGCTTTGGGGGAAAATTGCACCACCAGGCTCGTTTTGAAGAACAGAGCACCATTTGTGATCCATGTATAGTCCTGTCGTGCAACCACCCAAAACTGGCCATGGTGGCTGACCCCGGTCAGTCAAGGTGCACCCAACTGGCCTGTGCGCATTTTGCCCTCAAATCGATATCGTTCTTGGCTCTAACCCCAACCCTAGTTGAATCAGTCAACCACACTGCACAGATAGGCAGAAGTCGCAGTCAACCGCAAATCAACAACCTAAGGCAGCTGCTAAAACCCTCCCGGAATCCACTTTTCTCACACATCATGCGAATAGCTTCATTTAATTGCATTCAACCCTATCACTCAATCATATCAGTCCTCATGCTTCGCCTCCTCAACACGATTGCTTGGTACTCCCAGGCAAACAACCCGTTTGAGAAAACAGTCATGGGACTTATCAAAAATCCATCGGTCCCACATTGCTCGCCCCTCTCACTTTCTTCACAACAACCTAATAGTGACAAGCTGGTTCCTTGCTAGGGGGTTTTGTGCGAATATTATACCATCTCTTTATCACGATACCGCAGCAAAGCATCAACTTGCCATTCATCCCAGTCAGATTCCTCATCAGCCCCCACACCCTCTCTCAGTCCCTGAAATAATGTCTCAAAGTCAACCCTGTATTTCACAATGTCGAACCCAATACAAAAGAGAAACCTATGCAGTAATCGCCCATGCCGACCGACGTTCGAGAAGGCCTGGCCTCCTTTTGATCTCAAGATGTCTAAAAAACCGTCCTCGTGCTCACCAAATGTATCCACCCCGTCATAAAAGTCCTTCACGGGAAGTATCCCCATAGGTGTATTGAAAGCCACAAATGCCGGTGCCGTGAATGCCGACTCCCAGTCTATGACCCCCGTAATGTTGTACTCCTCATCCACCAAGATGTGATCCATCTTTTCGTCTGCGTGCTTCAGATAAAACGGGAATCTTTCATCCCATCCACCAGTCAGCTCTGCCATCCTGGACACCAAGTCGAGGAGAAAGCGGTGTATCAGAAACGCATCCACCGGTCGCTGAGTGTAAATCTCGCTCCGTTCAATCAACCCCAAAACGTGAAGAATGTACCGCGTACAATACTCCCTCCACGACTGACACGGCGGCAGGTCAAAAGTCAGCTCCTTGGCAAACCGCCCAATGTGATCACTCCCCGGTATGTCCAACGATCCCAGACCTTTGAATGGATGTCTCCCCAGCTCAATGTATATATCCGCCAGCTGATCCAGCACTTTCCTCCTCTGCTTCTTGCTGGCGAGATCCCAACGAAGCGGTACGCCGGGTAACTTGTCCATGAAAATATACCCCACCCCAACTGGGTTGTCTGGTCCATCCAACCTGTAATCAAACACCCTCGGCGCAGGAACCTCTGTCTTTTCGAGAAAGCCCAACGTTGCAGCTTCGCTTTTGATCATGTAATTCCGAACAGGGAGCGGTGTCGTGTTTGGTTGACGGATCCGAGCAATCCACGTGACTCCGTCTTCGAACTCGACGTCGAGGTGATAGTTTCTGGTTCCCATCATCAGGTCTTGGTAGTCTGGGATGTGCACAACGCAAGATGTGCCATTTCGGAGTTTGCTGGCGCGTTTGGCCAAGGCGGCTGTGTTGAAGTTTTGGAGACCACAGCTCCAGGCTGCCGGTGATGTTGTAAATGCTGGCATGGGCGATCTCGGTGAGGTATCTGGTCCGGCTATGAGAGAGCGGTTCAAGGTGAATGATGGCGCTTCGAGTTCTATGAAAGATGCCCATTCAAGACCAGCTATGTCGGGTATCGAGCGATTGGACTCAGCGCCCGCGCAGATCAGGCTCATGCAGATCCCCGACAACGTTAGATAAGAAAAAACAAGCAATGAAAAATAAGAATGGCCCCAAAGAATGGGTTTGTTAGTGGTTAGTGAGGTCCACATGACTAGTTGTTCCACTCCACTTAAACTGCAGCTTTGCATGAGAAGATTGGCCAACGAGGGCTTCTGGAGATCATCAACCCCACAGACACAGGCGCTTCGGGTCTGAAAATAAAACTGAATTCGTAAAAAAAAGCTTCATGCCAAGACCGCCTGAGCTGTGTAGCTAGATCCTTTGGTTACACGTCTACTTCTCGAGTCTACTCCTCCAAGCCGTGGCCGCAGACTTTCCCGCCACTTGTCCCTCGTTTCCCAAAGAATCATCCCAAGAATTATTGCAAAAAGGTGGGTGGCACCTCGGGACCTGACATGAGGTGTAACGGGTTAGCATTAGATAGGTAATCACTGATCAGCCCAGAACACTCACCCCAGACATGCAAGTTGTCGGGCGCGGCCTTGTTGTGGTGCGTTGGCTCGTTCATGTCCAGCAAATCACCGTCCACATAGTGCTCCAAGATGAAGTTGGACGGATCAAACCAGTAGTCAAAGATCTGGCTGCCCATGACGTGTCTCCCAACACCCCAGCAGTTGGTGTATCCTTGATGACGTAGCCAGTCGTGACCCAGTACCTGAGCATCGAAGTCGTGTGTCTCAAAGGAAGAGTGGTGAACGTGCATCTTGGGGCCTTCGAAGAAGAAGAAGCAGTGGTGGTCAACAAACTCCTTGCCACGGTCTAGGCGAAAGAAGACAGTCACATCCACGCCTTCATCGTTGTGGACGAGCTGAAAAGAATTGGTTAGTCTTTCCGCCAGGAGCCTTTTCATACGGAGAATGCAAACCTCGCTGGGATGAAAGTTGAAATAGGTCGAATAAAACTCGTAGCACTTGGCAAAGTTCGTCACGCACATGCCAAAATGTCCAAGCTTGTGTACGGGCGCCGGCCGCTTCTCGAAGCGCTGGAACTTGTTTGGCTCGCGGTTCTTCTCGTTCGGCTATCATTACAAGACGCAACATATCAGCGACTGTCATGGCCTTTTGAAAGATTTTCACTCACGTAGTTGAACTTGAGCACCGGGAAGCCAGGGTCTCTCCTTTCAACCTCAGTCTGCCCGTGAACCAAGTGGAATGGGAACCCATCCACCGGGTCATAGAAGGTCACTCTCTTGCCACCACCCGGCACATCCTTGAGCTCATGTACTTCGGTCGCTCGGCACTCTTTTGGAAGCGACTGCTGGGCGTAGACGAGATCCTCCTCAGACTCGACAACAAATGCTGCTCCCCCAAATTCCGGCTTGTCAGAAGCCTCGAGGGCTAACACAAAAGGCTCTGCTCCATATCCTCTGAAGAAGGTTGTCTTTCCGATCGTCTCGGTCTCGTAGAAGCCAAAGTCGGCAGCAAATCGTTTGGCGGCTTCAATATCCTTGTGCTTGTACCAGACATGTGCTGGACGCACCAGCTGGATCTTCTTTAAGGGGTTTGATGGGAGTCCGGCGGCCATGATGAAACTTTGGATGTGATTGTTGTTCAGTTGATCGTGTTGGGAGCGGATGGGACAAGAATGTTGATAACAAATCTTTTGGACAAATTAATGACACAGAGGCAGGCTGCCCGGGGGATATATCTAGAGTCCGGCCGACGGCCCAAGGCAACCAAGATGGGACGAACTGGGCTCTATTTTCTAGCGCTCACGCGGGGATGTGGTGGGGTAAAAGCGATGGTGACGCAGGTCGCGGCAATTCAAGGGAGAAAAGCCAATGGTGATGTTCCGATCGCGCGACGGCATTTTGCCATTGCCCAATAGCGGGCGCCGGGTAATGTCGAGCGCCCGTTCTTCGGTGTCTCATCATTCGACTCGTGTTGCCCCGACCTGCGACGGTGTACGAGAGAAACACAAGAGTTCGGAGTCCCGGGGGGGTTTTATGTTAGAGCGAAGCCACTGTCATGTCAGAGGCAGCATATGAGCCACACTCCGATCTCTGTGGCTGCGATTCGAGACCTCCTACCATTATCCCGATGCCACGTCATTGGTGCGCATACTTGCAAGATCTCTCATCCTCATTGCCGGGTAGCTACCTGAGGTAGATAGCCCGCTTTGCTGCACAATTTCAACCTACCTCGAACTCTATGGCCTGGCGACTTGATTTCCTTCGTTACTGAAAGATAGACGACTTTGAAGTTCGTCTTCATCAACGAGGTGCTCGGGAGGATTCCACCTCGGTGGTGCGGGGAAGCTTCAGTTGTCATCAAGGATGTGGCGGGGCAACAGCTGAAGTGCCAAGATCTGGGGGTAAACAAGCTTAAAAGGGGGGGACAAGGGGCAACTGGCAACATGCAACAATTTCCATATTGTCACGCGACCACAGCCAATTGCTTTCCCACCATTAATTTATTTCTCAGTCCACCCTGGATTTTGAAAACACTCGAGATTGGCTGGAACTTCATTCCCAAGCCCCGGTGTCTGGTTCCCTCCAACTTTAATCTGACTTGGTAGCTTCCTCGGTCTAGGCCTACAGCTTTGCCCCTCCAAGCGTTGCAAGAAAGGGGTCAAGGGGTAAAAGGACCGTCTTCTGGTCGCACAACATATTCGCTTCATAACTCTTCTGCAGCACCCAGTGGACGGTTCACTACGCCGGTAGTTTGGTTAGTCCGTCTTACTGCTCGCCAACCCCCCATCAATATACTTCAACCCGGTGGTGAAGGCTTCATTCTACATGCCATACAGCAATCAATTGGCTCTCAAGCCTGTCAGAGGCCAAGCCACAGCTATCACCGACTCCCTGATCGAGTCTAGACGACATTGTGGTTGCAGAAGACCTTGCAATCCCCCCATGCAGTCAATATCTGTTTACGTACTCATTGGTCTCATTACCTGTTTGCTTGCCCGTGTCATCACACCACCATCACTCTACAAGCCTTGGAGAATTATCAAGACGGTCCCCGGAGCTGAGAATAGAACAGGGCGATGCTTGAGAAGAGGGGTCTGGAGTTGAGTACTTAAAGCCAGCTTCGTCGCCCCAGATCACAACATACTTGACCATTCTCACAACATCCTTCGAGCTATACCTGCCCATTATACAAACCTGAGCTTCACCAGCACTCCAATCAAAATGCAGCTCCTCCACATCCTCGCAGCCTTCCCTCTCACGGCCCTTGCCGCCCTCAACGGCCGATGCACTGGTTCCGAAGCCACGGGCGAGTGGGGCTCCAAGGGCATCTGCATCAGGACTTCGACCTGCAGCAGTGCCGGCGGTGCTTACAAGACTGGCGCCTGCCCGTCTGACCCTGCCGATGTCAAGTGCTGCCTGGTGGGCCGTGGTCCTTCCGTTGGCACCAACCCTTGTGGTGGTGCTTCGTGGTGTGACTGGACCTCCAACACATGCAGTGGTAGCCGACTGACTGGTAGTTTTTTATCATGCCCTCGGTCCATCATGCATGTACTAACCAAATCCATAGGATACTGCCCCGGCGGATCCAACTACAAATGCTGCAGGCTCTAGACTCTGGACCTACGACAAAACGGGAATCAATATCTGGACAGGAATGATGCTAGTGGGAACGGGAGAGGTGAACCGAAAATGTTTTGAAAGGCTGGGACAGGTACCTGGAAGCACTGTTGCACATAGTGCTGAAGAATATCGGAATGCCATTCGTTTGTACCATATTGTGAAGGCTCAAAACCCAAGCCAGAGCTTCAATAACCTACCTACACCATGCAGACTCCATCCCTTTTCATGTAGCATCCTTGACCTTGGGCAATCTTGCCACCACGATGACGGCTCTGACCACCTTTGACACAGCAAACCAGCCAAACACCTTCCTCGCCACCCTGAACCCCCCACCGAGAGAGATACCAAACTCTGCCAGCGCCTTGTCATGCCTCTCCAGAAAAGCAACCAGGCCCGGGAAAACATCCACCGACACGTCCTTGATGACAATCGAGTCCCTGTCATAGCCACATGCTACCAACTGCTCTCTGTATTGCTCCACAGTCAAGAACGCCTTCCATGGACAGCCCATTAGCGCCCCAATCGTCCTTGCCAGAGTCTTCTCCCTCCAGGTTGCCGTGTTGGACATACATAAGTCAGACCCCATAAAGTTCATGCCGAGATTCCGGGCAGCGTACTGCCAGAGCGGCATCCGTGACGGTGAAAAGTGATACATGCAGTCCGACGCCAGTAGCCACTTCCCTTTGAGCTTGGGGTTTTTGAGCTTGTCCACGGCGGAGCGTATCTCCTCTGGCCAAGCATGTGGCTTGGACGCATCCGCGCAAAAGAGATGGGATGTGTCGAGCTCCTTGTGTAGGTCCCGGCATCGTCGTGACGCAGCCTGCAGCTGGACTTGGTTGTTTGTCACCCCTATGTATGCCCCTCCGAAGATGATGCCACCTAGAATTGTCGAGGTCTGGTCGCCGCAACCGAAGCCAACGTCGAGGATGGCAATCGACTTTTGGGGGGTGGTGATGTCGGCTGTTTCGAATACTTGCTGCAGATAATTCCTGCATGCTTCGGCGAACTCAGACGTGTCTTTCCAGTAGCCCAGATTCATCCACAATGAGACTGGCATCTGCAAGTTCAGCTTCCAGTGGTCGAGGCCATAGTGGTCGCGGGAGAGCAATAGACATGCTGCGAGTCCGACGAAGAGAGTGAAAGTAGCGAAGACTCCTGCAAAGAGTCCCGCCACGAATGTCGGGTCATTGAGCCATGATATCATTGTGGTAAGGGAGTTGCATTTGTCGGTTTGGTGTGGTGTATTGGTGGGGATTCAAAGATTTGAATCAATCAAACTCGCCAAGCCTTCTTATCGGGTTCTTATCGTGAGCATCCCTTGCTTCATACAATCAAGTCTTATGTAGTATCATTTCCTCCACGGAATCTCAACTCCAAACTCGTCAGCTACACGCATAGCCGATACGACACATCCTTCGAGCAGTACCATTCCATCCCAGCACCACGACCCAGTCAGCCATACGTTATTCTCGCCATTAACCCAGCCATCAGTTGTTCCACCACTACCATCCCGGAATATCCGCTCAACTGTTGCTCGACTCTCCACAGTCCTCAACGTCCTCCTGAACCCAGCTGTCTTGAGCGTTCTTTTCTGAGTTGCCGCTGACTCCCCATCCAATGGGCAGGTGCTCACCACCACACCGCTCGGCATGGTATGCAGCGCTTCTGATCGAGCGCCGCCGAGCCCGGAAAACTGCGTGCGCAAGGTGATGACCTGTGTAGATGCAGATTCCACCTCGACCGCCGCGTGATGCATGCATGTCACCTTCCCTTGGCTCGTCCTGTCATCTGAGTCCACCAGCGAGTGCGCACGAGATGCATTGGTCAAGACCGAACTCTCCACCCATGTTGTTGGAATCTTGTCCAGTCCTGTCGTCTTCAGCGGCGCAAAGAGCCTGCTCGCGACATCCGGTGATACCGCTAGGACAGCTCTGTCGAACACCTCTTCTTGTGCGCCAACTGTGTCCTGCCATCGTATCAGTACCTTGCCGCTTGAACGCGGCAGAACCTCCAGCACTCTCGACCGCACACGGATATCCTCTATGCCTCGAGATAGGCGAGACTGGACCTGCTTCACGCCGCCGCACACTGTGTAGTGCTGCTGACCATACGAGAATTTGTTGTAGTTAACCAAGTCGCTCGCTGGAAAGGCAAGAAGCTCGTCATGCGTGCAAGTCGACACACTGCTCATCAAGGGGAGGATGTAGTGTGTGGTGTACCGACGAGGCAGCCATATCCTCTCGAGATACTGGGCAAAGGACTCGTCGTGAGGCCGGACAAGGAAGCAAGCGGCTCTGAACCAGGCGTGGCAGATGATGAGGTACAGAATCTCCAAGAGGTACCGCCACGTGCGGTATGCCGATGGCCGTGGTGGCGGGAGTTGGTGAAGGTTGGAGGCATGGACAAAGTACCCATCAGGGACTGCTGACGCAGCTGCTGAAGGACTTTGACTCAAGTCCTGACAATTGCCTGCCTCGGTCCCCCTTTGCTTCAAAGCCTTTGCAAAGACAAACAGAAAGCGCACTGGGTGCATGGGAACTTCCAGATGGTGATACATTCGGTTCAGGTTGGCGTAGTATCCGCCCGCGGATGCACGCATTGGGAGATCGACGCGTTCGACCGCGCCCGTCTCATGGCTCTTGACGGCAACAGAAGCAGAGTCGAACGAGAGCGAATCAGCCTGAGTGGTGGTTGGGTGAGGTGTGAGCAAAACACAAGTTCATCGCAGACGGGATCTGAGTTTGTTTGGTTGCGGGAGTGACCCACCTGTTCCAAGAGCGTGACGGCATACCGTTTCTTGGGGTCGTTTTGTAAGAGATGCGCCGTGGTCAGTCCAGCCAGCCCGGTACCGATGATGGCTACCCGTTCTCTGGCCGTTTCAGTCATGACAAACTCTGTCGATATGGTTATCTTCGGATGGCCATCAGTGAACGGCGGTCTGCTGATTTTCTGCCAGTTTTTGGCTTCTCTCGCCGCCAAGCCTCGGCTGCTCCACATGGGTTTTGAAATGGAGTAGCCAGATCAAGCAGGGGTAGGGGGGGCGATTGGCGGCAACAGAGACTGCGACATCAGATCGCCAAGGATCCTGATTTTGATCAAGTTTATGCCATCATCAACCCCGACAAGACTGTGTACCTTACCTTAGGTAACCCGCCATCATGGTATCCAACGCGAGACCTCTAGCCATCCTGGCCAGCTACATGGTCACGGCTGCGGCTCTCACCGTCCGCTGTATTGGCATCGTCCGTCGTCACCCAGTCCAGAAGGCCAAAAAGAGCGCCGGATCATTAGTGCTTTTCAGCGCGCTGGCCGCGGTCAGCCTCGCAACAACATGGTCGTATATGTTTGGCTATTTCAGGTGGTCCTACTTTGACTGGGCTGCCAATACCCCAAGCGCGACTGCTGATGACCAGTTACACTTGGGAGAGTGGCTGCGGGACACATCACTGTTCAAGCAAGCCTGGTTCTCCGCTCTAGAAACGCCAGCCAGAGCATGGTGGACACTTCAGATTTTTGGTTTCTGTGCTATCTGGAGCGTGATGCTCTCTGTCCAAGGTCAATATTTATCCATTCACTAAAAATACCTCAGCACTGACATTTCAAGCAGCCAAGAAGAGAAACATCCCCCAGATCTGGGCTTTTATGCTTCTGGGGCAGATTGTTGCCATATCCTTTGCCAGCAATCTTTTCTTCCTTGCTGTGCTTGCACACGATGTCAAGGATGAGAAGAAACCAGCTCAAAGTAAACAAAAGCCATCATCGCGGACTTCAGATATCCTGATCCTCGTCGTCAACCTGGCTGTGACCCTCTTTCTGTTCGGAAATCTGGACAGCCCTTACTTTCTCTTTCTGCTCCTTGCGCCACACGTTTTGGCCTTTGTGCCACTTTTGAGGGACGGTATATCATCCGGGAGCACAGAATCCAGCCAACTTCGCGAGCCATCCAAGGTATTGCAGTTCGGCATTCTTGCGGCAGTCCTGGCTGCCGGGACATCGCAACCCATTGCCAGCGGGGAGACTTGGAAGAGCATCCTGGACACACTGTATGAGCACCCAGCTGTGAGCAGCGTAGGATGGGACGTGATCTGCTGCTGGGTGAGCTATACCGCGTGGTTCCTTGTCCGGGATTCGGAGTGAGCAAGTCACAAGACAGGACAAATTTGTTGAATTCATTGGGCATATCGCTTCAGTCCTGCGTTAGAACTATTGAAGATATGCTACAACATTGGCCGGATAGAACGGCTCAAGTAGTCCTGACGCCAAGTCTCTGCCACCGAAATTTCGAACTGTCATGAGCGGCCCGGCCCCCGGGATCAACCCGAAATGCTACCCTACCACCAGGACTTTGAGCTGACCTGCCGTTTGTGGTTGAACTCGCCTTGCAGTGCGCATGTATTTGAGCGATAGAATAGCGATCCAGTCAACTACCAATCGACTAAAGTCTTGGTCGAGTAGCCAACTGTTACTTCTCATCATGATTGGTCACAAATATTAAAGCTTTAGTTCAACCTCCTGGACAGGGCGAAAGGCAGGGGACAAGCGAAGCAGAGAATCTCATATCACATACCTACCTCGTAGCACTGCATAAAAAGTCCTTTCCGCACTCTCTCTCTTCCGCCTGGTAGTCCCTCTGCATACAGCCTGCAAGCTGAAGGGCTAATCCCGCCCTGAGACCTGAGAATGATTGGCTGATCTGGTCCAGGGACAAAGACCCCCCCCAATATGGGTTCCCGCAGTTCAGGCGAGACCAGACCGTTGCACGGCTGCCAGTTGTGGACGGGAATATCATCAAACTGCAAGCCACAATGGTCACTTAGTCGGACAAGAAGTCGATTGTCTCCCTGTTATGTAACTTCGTCTCATGCTGTCCACGATCTAGAACAGTGTCAGTCCATGGTTATGGCTGAAGCAGACGACGATCAGCACCTCATCTGGGGTCCTGCTTCAAACCTGGGGAGGGGACGGTGGCGATAGCGCTTTTGTTGCTGTATTAGGAACTATCAGGCGAGTCTTTCCAGCATGGACGGTGACCCAGGGCTTTGGGAGTCGTCATGGTTGTCTCTCGGGGGCTAAGAAACGGGTATTTAAGGGGTCGTTGTGTCCTCAGATCACGACATCCATCCCCCATCTCAACACCCACTTTCAAACCCACCTCCACCATGCAACTGCTCGCCATCCTGACCACCTTTCCCCTAGCCGCCCTCGCGGTGGTGAATGGCCGTTGTTCCGGCAGCGCCGCCACCGGCACCTGGGGACAAAGCGGCATCTGCATTTCGACCGGCACCTGCAACTCTTTCGGCGGTGTCTTCAAGAGCGGTGCTTGCCCTGGTGACGCGGCCGATATCAGATGCTGCCTCATCGGCCTGGAGGGGTCGACCAACAAGCCATGCGGTGCTCCTCGATCATACTGCGACTGGGACGGACATGCCTGCTGGGGGGTTACGCACAGCGGTATATTTTTGACTAGTCACCATGGTGTCCAGTCGACTAACATTGGTGCAGGAAAATGTCCCGGTCCGGCAAATTATAGGTGCTGCCAGAGTCTGTAAATAGGCACCTATGCCTGATGCTCGGGAGACTTTCGGTATTGCAGTTGGGCTTCGTGTACAGTGGGGAAAAAGCCATATATATGCATGAGGGTCTTCAGTAATGGAGCGCAATACAGCAACCATTTTGCGTCTTGTGATTACCAGTGTGGTTCGGTCATACAAAGTTAGTGATCCGAAATATGTTCAGCTGAGCAGTCAGCCTACCTGAAATTCCCTTGGTATTAGCCTTTGCTGTGGACTAGTTCCTCAAACGTCTGTTGTGATTTGATTGCACTAGAGCCAACCCTATCTCGGGATACTCTAGTAATCCCAGACCTGCCCTCAGTTAGGCTGAATAATCTCCCCCTTGATCAAAAATGGCACCACATTCCCCGGCTCAACAAAGAAATCCTCATGCCCCGTCGCCTTGATCAGCGCAGCTATCGTCCCCGAATGAGTCGAAAAGCTGATAATCTGCTCATCATCATGCTCAAATACATCCTCAAGCAAAGCCATCGTACGTGCGGCATGCTCCTGGAGCGTCTCTCTCCCCTCCGTCTTCCAGTATACATCCTCATCCACAAACCCCTCCTCAAACTCAAACTCGGGAAAATTCTCCCTGATCCAGGTGCCATTACGGCGGCGATCACACGTGTGAAAATGTAGTCTTTCCCTAAGCAACTCCTTGATGATGGGCTTGAAGGGTGGTTTCTCCTGGCCGGGGGGTAACTCGATGCCTTCAAATGAGAGCTTGCAAGTCTCGAGACAGCGGGCAAGAGGGCTGGCGTAGTAGCGCCTGGGAAGAGGGAGTTTGAGCGTGGTTGCGGCATCCTGCCAAAAGGCGTTCATGGTCATGGCTTGACGGATGCCTTCTAGGGTGAGGTGGGAGTCGAACCAGGTCGAGTTGTCGTCTCCATTGAGCATCACCCATCTTGTCTAGTCAAGGGTGTGGACGTTGGTTAGCATTATGAGATAAATTGGCCAACAGTGATTGCTTCTCACCTCCCACTCGGCTGAGCCGACATCAGACTCTTTGGCATTGTGGTAGCCCTGGCCGTGGCGGGTGACATATATGAGTTTATAGGCCGCTTTTCCTTTCTCGCTTTCATTCCACGAGTTGAGGAGATTGACAAACCTCTCCCATGGCTGTTTTGAGCGATGGGGGTCGAAAGCCTCGTCGGTGGGGTAGGGTTGATCAATTAGACCCATACCCCGCATCGTAGGCTGATGATTGTAAGCAATCATGTCATGCTCAATGAGACCCAAGAGATCAAGAGACATACCACCTCATTCCTCGGGCCGCGGCCTTCCATTTTGAAGTAGCCGGGAACGGCTGTGAATCGATATTTGGGTGCCATGGTCTTCAGTGCTGCCAAGGATTTCATAGATTCAGATTCAGATGAAGCGATCGGATGAGAGACAGATGGTGGGGCAGTCAATGAGAGTGTAGGGAAGGACGTCAGGAGAAGCAGCTTGAGCATGGACCAGGCTGACCAATGCCCCGCACCCGTAGCATGCTGTCCAATCATTGTGAACATGTGCGAAGTCTTGGGTGTTGCAGATGGCGATGCTGTCTGATGTTGGGAATGCAGAGGGAAAACATCACACAGCCATATTAGCTCATATTCTGTCGAGGTTTCTACATGTGCGTAAGCCCTACTTAAAATTCATGGCTTGATGGCTTGACGGTTTGAAGTGAAAATTGATGTGATGTCACCTGCGAAGGACCCTAACCGTACAACTGAACCAAACCTGAGAAACGCCCAGGGTGGGGCCCAAGCTGTTGACGGGGAACCGCCATCCTGGGATCACAGCGTCATCGCTCGGTCCCCATCCCACTGAACACCATCGTGCCTTACTATTACCAGCAAACTCAAGCCACCGGAATCCCCAACAAATGGCCAAAGCAAAGAAACTCTCCAAAGCTCCAATCTCGGACACTGCCTCCACAAACAGCGCCGGATCCTCCTCCTCGGCGCCAACTACCACGCCCTCCTGGTATGTACTTTTACTCTTCCATAATCGATATATCCTCACCTACTAATTAATCTTCCATTCCCAGGTTGACCGACTCCCTCCCCCTCCCCGCCCTCATCGTCCTCGATCTAGACTACACCCTCTGGCCCTTCTACTCAGACATCCACATCTCGCCCCCCATCCGCTCCCTCTCCCCCTTTGTACTATCCGACCGAAACGGCGAGCACTTCTCCCTCTTCCCCGACGCCCCCGCCATCCTCCGCCTCCTCTCCTCCCCACAATGCAACATCCGCCTGGCTGTCGCGTCTAAATCCCCAGTCGGCGATCTATGTCGTGAAGTGCTCAAATCACTACGATTACCCGAGACGGAGATACGAGGGCAGCCGAAAAAGGTGATTGATGTCTTTACAACAGGCGGGGGCGGAGGGCTGGAGATTTATGAGAGCTCAAAACTACGGCATTTCGAGGTGATTGCCAAACGGACGGGGGTGCGGTACGAGGATATGCTGTTTTTTGATGACGAGAGGCCTAATTTCGAGGTGGAGAGCGTAGGAGTGACGATGAAGCTTGTTGGCAGGCAAGGGCTGTGCTGGGAGGAGCTGGAAAAGGGGATACAGCTTTGGAGGGAGAGAAAGGGTATTGTTCCAGCTACTGCTGGCGGTAGCGGTTCATATGCTGGAGGGAGATGGTAACTATGCATTTGTCATGGATAAAGCATGGCGTCGGGGTGTTTTGTTACTGAAAGAAGAATACTACGGCTATTTATGCTGATATGATATACACACAGCGCAGCTGGACCCCCAAAAAAGAGCTGCATTTCTATTGCTGCACCCAAAACATATGCCATCAACGGAAGAAAAAGGAGAGGTATCAAACTGCGCGCGCTCAAGAGCCCAAATCCCAAGCACAAGCACAAGGAGGAAAAAAGCCCGCAATGTTCTACCCTTAGCCAGAAACACAACACCGGCAACAAACACCATGCAATGCAACCTTCTAAGCCTTGACCGCAGCCGGCTTCTGCTCCTCCGCAACCGCATCAGGCACCGCAGCGGCGGCAACCTTTTCCGAAATCTCCGCCGTAGACGGCTTGTGATCCGACGAAGAGACCGACAGCGCCTTGACGCCCTCCATCGCAGCCTCGATCTTGGCCTCCTGCTCCTCCTTCACGCCAGCAACGGCCGCCGCCGGCTCTTCCACCTTGGGAAACGGCGACGGAATGCTGCAAATCTTTTCTCTTCTTTGCTTTCCGTCCTGTCTGCCGACCGCATACAACTCGAGCGTGTTGCCATCCTCGGACGGGACCCAATAAGCTGGCCCCCTGGGGAAGTCGGTGTGCCCCTTTTCCCAGGTGATCGCCTCTTTTATCCTGGGGTCGACGTTTGGCCGGTCAAAGAATTCGAATTCCAGCTCGCCACCGTACGCCTTGGGGATGTTTCTCGGCTCCATGAATCTTTCCAGCTCGGTCTTGACTTCTGCCGCGGAGAGGATGAAGATCTTGGAGACGGTGATGGGGTCGAACCACCTCTTGATCCAGCCCCAGACTGTGCTAAAGAAGTAAGGGGCGCCGATGATGAAGATGCGGTCGAGGGTCTCGGGGTAGTGGGCTGTGGCGAGTGTCGAGGCGGCCTGCATGTGTGACTTTAGGTTCCAGAACATGCGCAGCGATACCTGGGAGACGTCAACGATGTTGGTGCTGAGGGTGATGGGGGTCTCGGCGTTGTCGCGGTCTTTCATGGCCGAGCAGAGGGGCTGCGCAAATCGGGTGAGGTTCTCGTACAGGGCAAACAGCCTGAGGAGCTTCTCGGGTGTTGACCCATCAGTCTTTGCCAGACTGGCGCTCGTCGACTCGGCCTTCTTCTCGTAGTTGGCGACCGTCTTACCGTCGAGATGGCGGATCTGGAAGAGGTAAATCGGGATGCCGCGCCTGTCTCGTCTGCCCGTCCATTGGGGGTACTGTTACTGGCTGTCAGAGTGCGCTTCCTGATTGTTCAAACACAAAGGACCTACCAAGCTCCTCGTCTCCTCGTACGCCTCCACATCAATCGTGTCATACAGCACCTCCAACTGGTTCGCCTTGCGCCAGTCCTCGGTGTCCTTGAACTGCTTGTACGCATCCTCCACAATCCACCTCCTCGCCCGCAGAAATCGTCTGTCAAACCGTGCATTAGCCGTGCGCCCATCAACACTCCGTACCTGCGCCGCTTTGCACTGCGGTGCTCTCCACCCCCATATGTGACATCATAACCAAGAGAAATAAGACGAAAAATATAAAAAAATATAGAAATAAAAAAAGAGTCTTACAGCAAAGTCCAATCCTCATGCGACGGCTTCTCCCCAGGCGCATGTGTATACAACCCCTTCTCCCCCAAGAACATCTTGAAATCCTGCAGCGCCTTCTCCTGCTCGGTGGTCAAGTGTCCGAAATGTCCATGAGGGTACCCGAACTCGTCTCCGCCGGTGGTGGCCGTGGCAGAAGGTACTTGTTCCACTGGTGAGCCCGCCATTGTGTTTTCTTTTGTCTCTCAAGTAACCCCCTAAAATATGTTTATACCTGAGACTGCCTCGCTGACAATGGTGACAGAATTCCACAGAGTTTTTCGATCACGAATACCAACGGCGCAGCAACAGCAGCAGAAGCAGCAGCGCGCAAATGCAAAAATGCGGGGTGCTTGTGCTGGCTTAGGTGAGAACGGTTCGCGCGCGCAGAGTCAAGTCGATGACAACCTGGAAGTAACGACGTTTAGCCTCCCCCCCAAAAAAAGATGATCGAGGTCGATACACAGAGAGCGTGAGATGACGGGTGGACTAGTTTAAACCAAGATTGAAGAGGATGACAAAAGGGACCAGAAAATGCTTCCGATTCCTGTCGCAGGTCCGGAGTCCCAACTCGCCGAACAGGCCGAGAAATAGGAAATGAATTGCCCACGCGCGCCCGCAGAAGCCCCACCAAGCGCTGGAATCGCAGCGTCCTCGTTGGCTCCCGACTCACCTACGCCGCTGTCCCGCACCAGCCGGAGCTCGGACCCGGTGCCCCAAAATGTGATTGCTGACAGGTAACTCCGTAAATGCTCACTGCCTCGCATCGCTTCTCGCTTTGAAGCAAGCCGCAACCAACAAAACAAAACAGAAGCAAAAAGGGGGCTGGGCCAATGTATCAGATTCCAATCACTTCGCTTGACAGAGGCAGCTACCAAAGATAACAAGCACCAATGACACAACATCCATGACCATATTCTAGCCCGAGGCAACCAGCCCTCACATTCCATTGCCGACGAGAAGAAGCTTTTTTGGTTCTCAATAGCCCCCCAATGACGCCAATAATCACAAACCCCCTGTCTGCCCTCTACTCTTCATCCGCACTCTCTTCCTCGTCGTCTTCCTCCTCCGCTTCCTCCTCTGCAGCCTCTTCCTCGGCAATAACAGGACCCTCCTTCTCCAGTCTGAGCCACTCGTCCCATTCTGGGAAGAGCTCCTCATCCTCCACTGGGACACCGAGAGACTTGGCCACGCGCCCCTTCTTGTTCTTCTCCAGACTGTCCTTCCACTCAGCTACAATGGCAGGGGCAAGACTTGGCTTGTATGTCTGCGCGAAGAGCACTGCCTCGGCGTGACGGTTTGTCTTGGTGAGGATCTCGACACACCCGGGCACATCACCCAGGAGCCACTTGCTGCTGAAAGCAATGTTGTGAGCACCCGCAGCCGTCGCCTGCTCCGCCAGCTTGGCGAGACCTTCACGGTCCGACGTGGAGCTGTAGACCAGCAACAAGGAGCCGAGATCCTTGGAGTTGACGAAACACTCGGTGGCAAGAGGGATATCCCAGGCGGCGAGACCGGCGTCGCCCAAAGTCTTCCACTTGTGGTCCGAGTCAGACTGTCTGGCCAGTTCAACCGCAACATCCAGTTGATTCAGGGCAAGAGCGAGGTCAAACTTGTGCTCAGGATCCGTAGCCACTTCAAGCGCCAATTCCTTGTGACCCTGTCCTTCGAGGAAGCGGGCGATTTTGTTGAGTTGGTCTTGGGGGATGCTGGGGAGGAGTTCGGCCGCCGTCTCCATGTCCTGACGGAGCACCAAGGTTTGATACTCAAGGACTGGGAGGGAGAGGGCGAAGGATGTGACGGAGAGGTCCTTGTCGGTCAAGTAAACGCGGCTATCACGCTGGAGGTACCCAAGAATATACATGGGCTTGTCGAAGTGAGACACGGTGTAGGTCTGGTCACCCACAAGGTAGTTCAGCCTATTGGTGCCATTCGTGTAGATGAGGACATCACCCAGCCATTCGGCCGATCGGATGCTGTGGCCTTGTTAGTAATGTTGTGGAAAGTGTACAAGCCGATTGACACATACCTTTCGCTAATGTCGGTAATGACATCGAAGGCCTCCTCGACGCCATCCTCCTCGACCTTGCCGGACTGCACAGCTTCGTTGTAGTTCTCACGGGAAAATCTGAGAACATAGCAAGAGTCCTCGCAAGCCAGAGCAACGAGCTCACCACTTTCGCTCCAGTAGACCTGCTTAGGCTCAACCTCGATGCGTCGGACAAGACCACCCGTTTGCCAGTCAAAGAACGAAATACCACCCTGGCCCTTGACACCGAGCAACACGCCACCAGTGAGCCCGTCGGCAGCAAACGGCACGTCGAGACCGCCCTTCTTCTCCTGGAAGTTCTTGAACACCTTGATGCTGGTTGGCGATTCGCGGATCGCAAAGTCGTTCGAGTTCTCCTTGGAGGCCCAGACGAAGTCGAGAGCCGAACCGAAAGCCTTGTTGCGCCACGCCAGGGCAGTGTAGATGATGTACTCGCCGTCGCCGCAAATGGCGGCGAAACGGCCGTTGGGTGAGTGAAGCAAAGCCTGAGGGTAGATTTCGGCGTTGCCTAGCTCCTTGGTGGAGAAGGTGATTGGCTCGTTATCCTTGGTTGCGTCGCCCGCCTTGATAACGGCGGAAACGACCTCGTTGTGTCTGGCCCAGATAATCTTTCCAGACCCATCCATGGACACCGCCGGTTCTTCCCTGCCAAGTTTAATCACCACGGATCCCTCATCGAAACCAACCGCGATGCCCTGCTTGCCCTTCTGGTAGGCCACACACCAAGCCCTCTCAAGCCCATAGTTGAGGGTTTGCTCATGACGGTAGGTGTTGGCGTTCCATATCCTCACGGTGCCCTGCAAGTTGGTATCAGCATCTGATCAAGCGAGAGATCTCATCCAATAACCCTACATCTTCGGAACCAGAAATGATGATTGGAAGCTCGGGATGGTAGCACGCAAAAGAAACGTTATTTGTGTGGCCCTCAAGCGTCGCAATCAAACTCTTGGTGGTGTAATCCCACACTTTCACCGTGCGCTATAGCAGCTCGTCAGTAAGATTGTCCAGTACCCAAGGACATCCAAACCTACGTCATCTGAGGTGGTAAGAAGGTAGGGCTTGTCGCTGTGAGGGTAGTAGTCGACATGGTTGACACCCTTGGTCTCGTGGGCTTCAAGTTGGAAGTTTGGTGTGGAGGAACCCAAGCTCCAGATCTTGACCGTCCTGTCCAAGCAGGCCGAGGCGAAGGTGTTGGTGTCTTTCGGGTTGATGGCGAGGGACATGACATAGTCTGAAAGCACGTCAGTCATTCTGGCGGCTTCATAATTGGCTCCCAAAACCTACGCGAGTTGCCCTCGAACACCCTGACGTTTTTCCACCCCTTCTCCCAGTCCCAGAGCTTGATTGTCATGTCATCACTGGCCGTGAGAACAAAGGGCTGTGTTGGGTGGACGGCGATCGCACGGATGTAGTCGGGATGCGCCTCAAAGGTTGTGATCTTCTCGCTGGTGTTGTAGTTGTATACCCGAATTTGGCTGTCGTCCTCGGTCAGCTCTCTGCCCAACACCACACCACCCACGCAACCTCGGGTATGCCATACAAATCATCGGAACCACAGACAATCCAGTTCTTTCGCGCAACGAAGCGACCAGCGCGCACTGGAACATCGGTAAGCTCGAAGGTCTTGACGACCTGTTGCGTCTCGTACGACCAAATGTAGACATGGCCGCTATAGAGGGTAGCTGTTCGAAATAGGGGTCAGTCTCGTGTCGTCTCGAGCGGAGGTCGCGCGAGGGCATACTCAAGATCCATGGCTCTGTCGGATGGAAGTCGATGCCTTTGACACGCTGTCGGCAAACTATGTCAGCAACATGGCGGTTGCGCGCCGGGCCCCCATGGCCAGGGCTGGAGGGAGATCACGAACCTCAGAGCGAGCAAAGAGTTGGCGCTGTATGTTTAGAGACATGTTAGCCGGTGTAATGAACAAGACACTCAACCACAAGTATGGCAAGAAAAAATTGCCAAGGGATCAGAGGCTGGACGAGCATGAGAGCGTCGTGAGCAGCCGCCAGCCGTGGTGCAAGACAGCGGATTGTACGCAGGGGGACCTGGAGCTTGTGGCCAGATCATGGGTGACACAGCCCGGCATTCAAGGGAGCGAAAGCAAATGTGCGACTTGCCTTGACGTCCAACCTCATGTTGGGCAATGTGTATTATCTCGAGTCTCGGTGTGGGATGTTTGAGAAAGAAGCGGCTCTCGAGCTCGGGGGAGCTTGTTCGGCGGGGTGGATCGGTTCACGCTGCTTGACCGCAAAAGGGGAATCTCGAAATCGTCACAAGGAGGCAGCAGTTCGTCAATTATACGTCAGGCGACGGCAGTCGTGTAAATAAATCTGGCTGGAAGATGGTCGGGCCAGATGTCACTGCCACAGAGTGTGGGAAGCCAGCGATAAGGGGGGGATGGATGCCGTTGTTGTTTAAGTTGCCGGCCACGTATCGAGAGGTTCTGGACGCAATTTCGCCGATGTGGTCTCAGCAGCAGCTGCAAGTGGGTGGGCTCCAATATTAGGTAAGGTTCAGGTTCGTGCTCCAGTCCAACTGGGGAACAGTTTGCAACCTAAAATTCCAGGCTAAAAGCGCACAGACCACGTTCGCTGTTAATGAAATGCCAAGGTCTCCAGCTGGCCTGAGTTCTTGACTGCAGCTGCTCCTCATCAATCAACTCGGCAGTTCACGATAGCTTCAATTGTGCCCAGCCGGCATTTTTCAATCGCCGCAATTTTTGGCCATGTAATCCAACGGGGGACACTGCGGATAGGTACGCTACACTACCGTGGTATGGACCATTTAACATTACATATCTAGCTAGCTCACAGAACGCAAAGACGCAAGACAGCAAGTGAACAAACATCAAGTCAAGTACAAAACAAAGTCTTCGACATTTCTCCAAGATATGCTAGCTCTTACTTGTCTAGTAACCGAAACTCCCAATTAAAACACCAACCCGCTCTAAGAAGCATACTTTGTTATAACACGTATCATCATCAACCAATGCCAGAAAAAATACCAAACGCCGTGTCCATGTGTCCCGGGATCGACTCCGCGATGTTCCCTTTCCGACGCTAAATGAACCCTTCGCTTTATCCCATCAAGGAGCCTTGACCATCAACGCCGTCAAATGACAAGAACGAACCGAAATTCAACACAGCACGACCTTACTCCTCATTCGAATCGGCCTGGACACGCTTGACAATGTCGACCACCTGAGGGTAGAGCTTTTCACTTGGCTGCAAACCGCAAACTTCCTGGACAACCTCTTCAGGCTTCTTCTCCTCCATGATTTTGGCAAGCTCAAACGACTCGTCGTCGCCCTCGACGTTCTGGAAGCGGAATGCCATCTCGGCAGCATCAAGTAGGGCTGAGCAGTCCTTGCCGTTTTCCGCGAGCTCGGCAGCGGGGCCGATGAACCGCTCTTTTCGGCTCAGCTTCCGGAGCGGGGCACGACCCACACGCTCAACCGCATCCTCCAAGTGGGGGTTGCTGATGCGCCTAACAATCTTGTCGACGTACTGCTTCTGCTCCTCCTCGTCGATGCCGTGCTTCTCGGTGATGAGGTCAGCCGTCTCCTTAAGAGCGTTCTTGACCTCGTCCCGGATGTCCTTGTCTTGTAGGGCATCGTACACGGTGCTCTTGCGGCGAGTGTAGCCGTAGTACGCAGCAGTGGCGTGGCCAGTGTTGACAGTATACAGCTTGCGCTCAATGAAGGGCTGGAGGTTATCGACCCACTTGATGCCCTTGATGTCTGGGACGGCCCATTCCTTGAACGGGGTCTTCTCGACAACCCACTCATAGAACTTCTCAAGCTTCACATCGAGGCCGGCATCGGGGTCTTGGGCCGGGACGATGCGGTCAATGGCCGAGTTGGCAAAGGTGGCACGCTTGTCGTAATCCTCGAGGAGAGCGGGGTTGGTGTTCTCGGGAGACTTGATGAACTCGGCAAGAGTGTCGGTGGCGCCGATGGCGTTCTCGCAGGCAATGACAGCGGCGGGAGTCAGATCCGTCGAGCGGGCGGCGAGACCCTTGGCAATTACTGGCGCGAGGAACTTGAGGATGTTAGGGCCGACGGAGCAGGTGACAACATCGGCCGTCGCGATCTCCTCGACCAAAGCCGCCTCATTTGACCTCGAGTTGATGGCCCGGTAGTTGGTGATGGTCTTCTCGGTGGTGCCCTCAGCGCCAACCTCGATCACCTTGTAGCTCTTGTGGGTGTTGAGCTTGCTGACGGTGGCATCGTTGACCTCGGCAAAGATGACTTCATACCCCGATTCGTGGAGGAAGCAAGCAACAAAGCCACGGCCTACACCAGCAACGTTAGCAACCGGTCTATGACGGCGGCACCGTTGAACAGGGGAAGGCCACGGGAGGGCCACGGGAGGGCCACGGGATAGACACTGGACCGGGTCGGGATCGGGAATAGGGAGGGGACGCCACTTACCAATGTTTCCGGCGCCAAAGTGGACAGCCTTCTTGGGGGTGTTTCTCTCCATGTTTAGGGATATGTGTATGTGTGTGGTGAAAAAGTAGTACGAGTGAGTGGAGAGGGAAGAGTGATCAGGGCAGCGGGGATGCAAGATCAACAAGGTTTAGATCAAAGGTGGAAATAAAAAGTTGTAAGATACGACGAGGTGATGTCAAGTTCAAAGGGTTGAAGTTGAAGTGTCGGAGACTTTATGTTGTGGAGAGAGGATCTGCAGATGATGTCGATGGATTGCTGGATGCTATGGAGAAGATGGGGAGGAACGGTTTGGCACAACGAGGAAAGGCCATTTGCTTTATACTATCGTGAGATAGAAAGCGTCGCTGGGCTTTTGTGGACCTGAAGCTTGTGGTTTCCCTTTGGGGCCCCAGGGCCCATGGGCCTTGGATCCGTCAACCTACCTCTTCAGAGAGTAAGGGCATCATTGATCGGTGGGTCCACAGTGACGGCTGTGTGGCTTGCGGTCGCTAAACGGAAGGACGGAGAGGGCAGGGTGCAGCCAAGGTGGCAGGCCTGGAGCTCCCCACCGTCCCAAAACAAGGTGCCCCCACTCTGCCTGTGACGAGGGGCGGCGCTGCACCACGTTCAGTTCCCGCTCTTCCGTTTTGCCCGCCACGACCAAAACGCTGCTTCATCAAAAAATAAAGTAGGTAAGCATTCTCGCATGCTGTGGCCTGTTGACCAGTCGTTGACCAGCAGGCGACCCATCTGCTTTGCTTTGCTTTAATTATCTATCTACTGGGGTTGAAAACATCCATAGCAGAAAGGTGAAACTAACAGCAGCTCTACGCTTAATCCCACTCACTGGTCACCATGGCCAACGAAAGACGTAAAGAGACTTCGGGGCCAGGGAAGCGCCAGCTCGATGACGAACATGACTACTATTGAGCTCGATGTCAAATCTTAGCTAGGTCGGGTATCATGAGCAGAATCTCGGTGTCCCAAACACCGCCGCAGCTCCCGAGACATGGCGCTTCCCCAACATGCAACGCATGCGAGCACCACGCAGGTAATCTGCATCTTTGATAATACTCATACTAACAGTCCGACCATTTCTTGCTTCCGGCTCTCTACCTGTCATCCTTCGGCGCCGGTCACGGAGGAGGTTGTCGTCACACCTCCTGCTGTGTTACCTGAGATTCCCGTCCGGTGTGTTTACACCAGGTTTGTTGTCGACCGCCACGGTGTTGAGATCTAAGCCATACCTCAGCACCCTGCCCACAAAATAATTGACACAGCAAAAGTAAGCTGGCCCATGTGATGTTATAAACTATGCCTCGAAAGTAAATCAAAAGGCCTTTGAAATATCTATGAAGGCCTCTTAATTATCCTTAAAGGCCTATTAACTATATTCAAAGGCCCAATAGCTATTCTTTAAGGTGTAGCTCGCAATATAATATGAGCTAACCTATTCTCGTGTCTCAATTATTTTGCGGGCGGGATTCTCAGCCGGAAGCCATTTTCACTACTGCCAGGGCAAAAGGGTCCTGGCCTGCTGTGTAATCAGGATTCTCGATGAGGGGTAACATCCAGGGTCCATAACTGGTCCAGGCCTTCAGGGCTGCTGTAAGCGGCCCTTTGGGGAAACGAACACTGCAGTCCCGGGTGGTGCCACGATGAAATCGCTCGTTTAATTGTTTCGGATGGCAGTAGTTGAGGCTCAATGTGTGCTATTCTCCGGTTACAAGGGTTCAGTTCAACCGTTGGAAGAAGTCTCTTGCAGACCTCGACCTCGACATCATTCCTTCACCTCAAAATGGCGATTCGCTATGATGCCACGATGCTGACCAGACTCTCGTCATGTTGTATTGTAACCTCGTCCCCTTCTGCCTTCTCTTTCTCCTGGTTTGATGTCGATCGTGGGAACGAAATCAGCGCGGTGACGTCGAAGCGCCCACAGCGATACAGTGTGAGTCTACGCACGCTGATAATGATGATGCGAGGCCTGCATCCGACGCCACTGCCCAGAGCCCAATTCTTCGAATGGAACGGTGAACAGTTGACTTCTGTCCGGCCCAGCCTGGTTTCCAAACGGACCGTAGTTGAAAAGGCCATAATCTCCGCCATCCACCCAGATTGTAACGGAGTCACAACGTCACCGTGGCTGACGTGGGAGAAGGTCTGACGGAATCCCAGCCCTGGGATCGATCGAAGACAAAGAACAACCCAAAGAAACAAAGAGGACATGGACCCTTTTTTTTCTTCAGTGCCCCACGCGCGATTGCTGGGTGCGGAGCCCAATCCACCTCCCCATCCGACCCACCTATGACGACACTGGTGGACCTATCTTATCGATAGGAGGTCTCGGCAGGGTTCAGGGTTTGCGGGACTTTGCGGGTTGTTGGTTTCTCTTTCGTGGAGCGTGTTTGACAGACACGACACACCACCGACTACGTCCAAATCATTACTGGGCGCTGAACCCGACATCGCTGTTCAATCAGTTCAATCATCGCTATTTTACGGTCCATCAAAAGCCTACGCGAACTCGCACAACCTTTTTCTCCCCTGGTTCCGTTCCTGGCCGATCAGCAGGTCCTGGGTTCCCTGGTGGCCGTTTCATGGCCCACGGCATTGGGCGGTTCGTTTCTGCTATTTTGATACGTCCTCTGTCGACAGCTTCGGGCCAACATCATGTCGGAACTCTTCACATGCGGCCCCGACTCGGCCAGACAGCCGCCATGCTTTTTCACAGATGAATGCATTTCTAACTTCTGTCATGAAATAGGCAGGACCGAAGCCAATCCCTGGAACCGACAGGTGCCAAGTGGCCACCGCAAAACTGGCTCTCCTGTTCGTCTTTATTTTCGGCACTATCTTCGGTCCGTCCCCGTCCTATCATCCCATTGCTGTCTACGAGTTTGATGATCTTGAGGGAAATATGTGCCCCATCGTGCCGCCGGTAAACAATGTCGATCTAAGGGTCTGGGAGTTCCAGTTGCTACACTACACTGTGGTGTCTGGCGGAAAGTTATCTTGATTTCTCAAGACCCGGCAAAGTCCCTTGCTCTTAGCCGGCTTCCTCTGCTCCGCACTGTGGGTTTCTCTTGCCCATTGAGGCCAATCATGGGAATTTCCTCGAACTCCCATCCTGCCTCAAGCACGCCAAAGCTGGCACCGGTGCAGGGACTTGAAGATCTCTTCCTAATATTCCTTGTGCTGCAGAAAAATCATCTGATTTCGTCTGCGGCACATGTTCGTCCCCTGCTGTGAGCCGTCACAGAGGTCGTTACCCCGCGTCGCGTAGGACAACTTTTGATCTATCACCATCGGTTCGGCCGTCGACAGTGCGAGGTCAGCGGCATCTTCCTCGGCTGTTTATCGTCAACTCAGAACAGGCATCGTCCCGACGTTGGCACCCTCACTTTTGTCCCGATCATCAAACACCATGCTACCGTTTTCCCCCATCACAAGTTCCACCCTCTCCCTCCCGCATCAACAGGGTATCGTCAGCCCGCATGAATCAAGGTTCTGGTCTGACGAGCCGTGGATAGCTCTCTCATGGCGACAGGCGGCCTCACTCTCGAGTCGATCAATGTCGGTGTAGTGCCATTGATGAGATGATACGGCGAGTCGGCCCGCCACGTATCATTCTCCGCCGGTCCCGGGGGCGGCAGGGTTTCGGCGCAGGGGTCAGGCCGTTGTCGTCGGACTCGATGCCACAGCGGCGGCCGGTATCTGGGAAAACGGATAACACGGAACCATCCTTGTACGCCGGCGATATCTTTTTCTTGTGGCTGTGCTGCGTCCGTTTTTGTTGACAACAAGCTGCGTATCCTGGCTGTTGATCTGAGGATCAATCCACCTCGATCGATAGCTTGTCTAGACCGCCATAACACGAAATCGTGGTGATTCCAGAGACAGTATTGCGATATGAAGCCTCCTCGGCTTCCAGGCATCTAGGAATCATGGTTCATCCCACCAGCACTGCAAACAGTTACGCGGCCCTTGAAAAACCTCCGTCCACCCACATGTAACTGCTGACGACGTTGCTCGAAGCATTTACAAACGGGCCAACAACACCGTTCAGTCATGGCACCCACGTGCTCGACGCCCTGATGTTGATCAGCACAATCTTGATAGGAGTGGATCAATCCGCCAAAGGTGTGAGCGGCTCCACGGAAAATCGAACCATAATGACGAAGGTTCCCTTTTTCGGCATCCATCCACGCATAGTGTGGAGTGCTTTAGTGTCTCTGCTTGGTACCAAGCCAATGGGTTGTACCTGGCTTCCTACCACTGTTCCATCACTATTCACTCACTTGCTCGCCAATTCGTATAGCAGTTGCCCTGTGTATGCTCGCTCCTCGATGGGGTGGTGAGGCAGTCCACCATGCCTCGTAGTGATGAGAAGCGGTATGACTAAGGTTGATTCATGCTATCACTTACACGGTCGAAGTACAGGGTTATACCTAAAGTGCTTTCTATGCACTTCAAAATCGTGGGGAAACATGAGGATCCATAACACCATTTGGATGGTCCAACCAAGAGCCCCATCGGCTTAAGCATGTCACGGCGTTGGCATGATGTGAAACGACCTTCTTGAAGATAGTTACGCGGTTAGCTAGCTGCCCACGTGCATCAGGGTCTTGATGAACAGGGAGCCATCCCTCATCACCCAACCACATTTGGAGCATGTCGCTGCTCCGAGGCATATTATGTGTACTGCCGATGCATGGTGTGTGGGCGTATATTATTCGCGCCTCGCTAACACCAAACAGTTATTAAAGCCGCTGCGGCGAGAATGTCCCGACCAATGCCCTCACCTCTGGGATCCAACAAGAAGAACACACACAAACCAAGACGCCAAGGATCTTGTGCTTGGCTTGCTTGGCTCTTTTTTCTTAGCCACGAGATCCGCTTCACCGTTTTCTGCAATTGTTTCGTGCTTTGCTATTCGCTCTTTTGCGGGCGACTTGGCAATACAATTGCTCCTGGTGGAAACGGACGGGTAGGACGGCATAGTGTCTCCCTTTTCTGACCACAGGCTGGCTTGAGAACAGGTGTTTTGTTCTTATTCATTGTTTTCTTGATCCGATGAGCTTACATACCTACATGAGGGCTGTGTGATTTGTCTGTTGGTGCTTACATGGGTGGGAGAAGGTGATAAGGTATTTCCGTTTATTGCGGTTCACATGCTCCACAGAAAAAAGCGAACAAAGAACCAAGTTGGAAATGTATGAAAAACGAAAACGGGGCTGGAGATGGAATCATTTGAGTGCAAGATGGGGGTCAAACGGTCAAGAAGCTGAAACCCATCTCGATTGATCGAGTGCTGTCAATATTGAATGTGAGAGATCACAAGCCCGCCGTGCTCAGCCGTGGTAGACATGTGAAGCAGGTAAAATAATGTAAGCAATATTGCACAGTCAGCGTGGCAGTGGCTTGCTGGTCTCGTGGGGTATGAGGGGCTCGAGGGGGCGAAATACCACCTTTTGATATTGGGAAGTTTTGGTGTCAAATTTCATGATATTGATAGGAAGTGTTGGAAGTGTTTGAATAGGTAGGTGAGTCGGGTTGGGGTTTCATTGACGGGTGATTGTCCCTGGGGTTCGGACTTGGCTGCATGGATGTGTTGGCGGATCTCGGAGCAGGTCATCTTGAAGATCGATGGCGGCGTGGTGGGGATGAGGTTGGTAGAAGAGGCGGAAGTGGGTGATCAAAGCTTGTTTGGGTGGACTATGAAGGATATAGACTAGCATTGATGCCAACTCAAGGTAGAATAAACCTTACACTTGACCATCTAGGATGCATATATCGAGCATCACCAAGTCGCAACATCGAAACGCCTGCCTGAGACGGCATGACTAAAAGATGCTCCTTTTCGAAGAGGATGGTGAGCCAAATCAAGCATTGTACCCACAACACCTTTCTCGAGATGTCGACAATATTTTCAAACCCCTTCTAAGTAGGAGCAGCGAACTCTTCATTTTGACGGCCATCTAAACTTTGGTAATAAATGACAATCTCGATTGTCTCTCGTGATTCCTCGCTAGGTGCTTATAGCCCCTCCTTTGTTGCATGTGCCCTCATAACATGGTTTCACGTTGCTCGTCATCTGAGACAGAGCTTGGCTGACGAGGAAGAGGCCGTGGCTATAAGATCAATATTGACTAATGGAGAAGGAACAGGTCCGTTGAGTGGGGACGGAGTCACATATACACAGGTACTCAGGAAGCCACCGTGTCGGTATCCCCAAACTTAGCACTCCTCTCTCGTATCCATCAACCTACACTGGGCCCATGGTCCCATACATGAAGCAATTTAAATGTACTATTCATTGATGGAGGATAGGTCCACCTACCCAAAAATGCTCCCATGCCAGATTGACCACTAATCCATGATGAGCAACCTCATTGTACGAAGATTCGAAATGAAGAAACAAAGTTTCTCGCGAATCCATTGCGTAAAAGCGACATTATAAAAAAACAGAATGGACCAATGCTCAAAGACAACGGGTGAGTCTTGTTTGCCAACACACGACACCAACTGATGGGCCAGGGGAGCGCATGAATGGAAGGTCTGGGGATCAGAGTTGATCTCAACCAGGCGGGCATTGGACTATTGATTCTTCTCAAATTGCTAACTACCTGGCTGTGCCGGACATGGCTCACTTCCTCACAATCCTCTACAACAGCACTAAGGATAATCCCCAGCCTGGGCATTTATCCGAAACCATGGACCACAACAACGTGGCGCCTTCTACCGAAGGCTTGTTCCCCTCCCAAGAAAGGCTTAATTCAAGTGGAATGGAGATTGGTTTTACCCCCTCCAGGCTGATTACGCCGCATTACCCCACGATAATATATGGGCATGGGAGGCGACGCCTGACCGGCCGGGGGATTGGTGCATCTCGTGGCCTCTCACATCTGCCGATGGCGCGATGGGCCGGCTCATGGCTTGTTATTGATGAGGCGTGGCATAGAGTTGACTCCGAGGGCGACGTAATATGGGACCGGCTGCTTCCGAGGCTGGGGTGCAGTGATGAGGCACCTGGGTATAAAGGAGGGAAGATGACTGTGCTGGCTGATCCTGGATTCCGGACTTTTGGGGCTGTCGCATCGGGAAAAGCATTTGTCTAGTCGCCATGTTCTCGACTTCGTTCCTCGTTCTTGCGTTGGCCGCAACAGGCCTAGGACAGGTCGTGGTACCAGAAGGGTATCGCAAGGTGTACATCACCTCGGCGGTCGACGCCAAGTTCGTTATTGTACCAAAGGCACCGTTGCCGGTGAAGGCTGGTACTGGTGTTGTCGTGTCAGTGTTTCCAACCCCCGTCTTAGAAAACACCGGAAGTTAACCAAATCTCCCTGCCATAGTCAGATCAGGAATGACAAGCCTGAACAACAGTGGTATCTCAAGGATGGTACCGGTGTTAGGATCCAATTGGCCGAAACCAACCTCTGCCTGGATGCCGGTGCAAAGAGTGCGTGTCGAGAGAGTCTGTCCACAAGAGAGAGAGCAAAGCTGATATCGAGAAACAGGTAACTGGAGAGATATGGGTACGCTCACCCTGAAGGAGTGCTCCGCTACCGAGCCGGCGCAGAAGTGGAACGTCATGGCAGATGGCCGCATCGCGTTGGAGGACTCACCCCAGCCCCGTAGGCAACCCTTCTCCTTGACCAGAAAAAAATCCAAGACAGAGGCTAATGACCAAACAGAACAATGCGTCGATCTGGTGTACATGCGCGCTACTCCCAACAACGCTGTCGGCTTGTATACCTGCGCGGGGCTCGGTAACACTGGCGCAAAGGATAAGGGCATCAACTGGCCGCTGGTCAACGCGACGGCTCCATGAAGAGTGTCGACAGTTCTCTCTTTGTCGGGTAGGTTGAGGTGACATACCTGTGCGAGTAAAGGCAGGTGGCTGAAAATGTAAAGCATAACCGGTAAAATTTCTTTCGAATACAGAGCATCAAAGATGCGTAGAAACTGGCCGCGAAACGTAAAATTCAGCTGGGGATTTCGGTGAGCAACCCCTTGATGTCCGCGTGACCTGGGCTTCTGCTGTTCGAACCTGAATTTTTAGGCTTTCCCCTCTGTGCTTCCATTGGCTTCTTCTTGCTGTTGCTGTTGTCATGAGATAGTACCTTGTTGACTGTTCCCGTACCATATCGGAGGTTGTTGTGCGATTCCAAGGCAGGCAGGTAGGATATCAATTCATGTGTCTGTGTAGGCATTTCTCCCAGACTGAAGAAGAGCAAGTCTTGAAGAAATGCGTGATCCAAAGGACGACTGTGCCGCAGCGAGGGCTATGCAGTAGCCCCAGGGGAAAGAGATAAGATACCTTGAGCTACAGCCAAGACCCCAGAGCCCGGCAGAGCTGAGCCATCAACACCAATCAGAAGAACGAATTCTCCCATTGATCGTGATAAGATAGGGGTGAAAGGTACCTGTGTGTATCGGAGAGCTCGCCGGTCCAGGAGGTGGTGCAACAACAAGACAAGCCCAGTGACGCAGTTGCTCGTTCCCTCGTCGACTTTCGCTTCGCCGTACTCTTCAACCAAACCAAACTATCAAATCCCCATTTCCATCCTCGCTCCCAGCATATTCTATTCTAGTTATCTTTTTTACACAACATTTTCTTTTCCCACTTACAGTCTTCTTGAACGCTCTTTGTACGGCCTTCAATTTGCTTGATCGCCCAAACCACCCCGTAATTCGAGAGCGCTCGTAGTAGCGCTCTCGAGCCCCAGGTTTCGTCTGATGGCCGCTTCTGGTAAGTTTAACGGGCGCGCGCAGACGCTTGTGGACCACCGCATCATTCCAACTCTAGGGTAACCAGCTTGCTAACTTTATTGCCTGCGTTAGACTTGTCGGTCTCGGACCGCTCGACAGGCAGAGCGTCATCGTCGGACGAAAGCGAAACGTCCACCATCCGTACACGCACCCTCGCCGAGCCCTCAACTGCCCTCACCGTCCCCACCGTCGATCCCGTTGGAACACAGGTAATCGAAACCGAGAAGAAACACCGTAAATATAGTCGCCGCAAGTTGAAGGGTCTGGATACCATCGCCGACAAGAAGACTCGGATTGAACAAGAGGTGGGACATGCAGCCGGTGGAGCGGGGCCCTGCCCACCTGGGGACTACTCTGCCAGCTTGGAGCTTGATGATAAGGACGAATCTGCTGTGCGCCACCTAGCTATCGAGAACAGCCCCCTGGCCGGCCGTACCGAGGCTATATTGTTGGCATCCACCACTGTCATCTTTTTTGCTATTCTCTTCAACGAAAAGGCATGCAGCAAGGTGTTGCTGATCCCGTCCATCGCTTTTTTGGTGATGCTTGGCAGGGTCTTGTCCACCCATGCAGCCAATAATCTCTCCGCCTTGCCAGATGCACCCCTCCATTGCGTGACCCAAGGGCACGGCAGCGACGGCGCGTTCCGAGCCCAGATTGGCCTGCCAGGACACCAAGTACCACGCTGGGCTGCCGGGACAAAGCTCCGCTATGTCATTTGTGCCGAGACGTTTCCCCATCCCGAGGACGCAGCCCTTGCAGCGAGCAACCTCGCCCAGGCCATCGACCAGTTTGCAGATGTTCCCGTCACCTTTGAGGAGGTGACCCGCAACACCAAGGCCCACTTCCGCGTGGTCTACAAGGATCCCGTCTGCGCAGACGAAGCCAACGTCCTTGCAAGCGCCTTCTTCCCCAACAGGGGACCCCGCAACACACGCACTCTTCACATCTACGCCCTGGCTTTCCGCAAAAGGCACATCGGAAGCCAGGTGCAGGTTCTCGCCCACGAGGTTGGCCATATCTTGGGTCTGAGGCACGAGTTTGCCCCGGAGTCAGCAGAATGCCGCTCGTTTACCTACGGCCGCCGCAACCCCGATAGCATTATGAGTTACCCCGCCGATTGGAGCACAGCCAAGGTGACGCAGCAGGACATTGATGAGCTGAGGGGTTTATACTTGGACACACGCCTATTTCTCCAGGACGACGCCGGTGATGACTGGCACTTCCAAACCATCACCCCGCGCCCGTTTTTGTACCCTTACGAGAACACGCGCAGAAACTGGGGCTTTATGGCAGCCTTCTGGTCGTTTAGGCGGTTCCAGAGGCACCAACAGGGAAATGCCACCGCACGTTAGAAACAGGTACGTTCCGCGAAGCCTATAAAGATCATCCCAGAGAGCATGGCTGGTGCTAACAATCATTGTTTACCTAGGTGGTGGTGATACTTCCAATGTCTTAACTAGTTGATCTTGAAGGTTTACGACTGGCTATGTGTATAAACACTAGTATTTATGCATTTACATCTATTCCTGCAATGTTGGAAAAACGGGGGCTTGAGGGGATTGCATTAGGTTGGTGGGACGGATGGGGCTTGTGGTGAGAAATGGAGTGATGAGTAATGGAAGCGTGGAGTTTGAGTATCGTGGGGTTCATGCAAGCAAGCGTGCATACAGCAGGTTGGTTACTGGGCATTGGGTTGGGTTTTTCGCTTCGTGTACTCGGCATCTGCTGGATTTTGTTCTCTTCATCTGGGTCTATAACACTCGTTTACTGCACGACCACAATTTATGGAGGTAGCTTGGGTACTTTACAATTTACATTGTCGGTTAGAAGGGGAGAGACTATTGGTAGAGCCTGGTTTAGCACATGTGTTAAGGGTAGGTCAGCAGCTTCTAATGGGTGAAAAAAAAATGATGAGACTACCTGATAGCAGACAAAATAAAACGATAATGTACAGCTTCCTTGTTATTAGATCCCCTCCTGCCCCTATTTACCCCCGCTGCTCCTGTTCACATCTTACCCCTGAAACGACCTCCTCTTCCCCTTTCCCTTTCCTTTCCCTTTACCCTTACCCTTGCCCTCTCTCGGCTCGACAATAGGGTTGTAAAACCTAAACTTGTTCTGCGGATCATACTTTTGCTTCAGCGCCCTCAACCTCGCCAATCTCCACGGCTCTCGCCCGTACACCGTCTCCAAGTCCTCGTACCCATTGGCATAGTTGACATAGTTGTTTTCCGTCCGCGTCGGCTGCCCCGCATTCCACATATCCTTCACCTCATTCGCCCACTCCCACGCCAGTTCCTCGAGAACAGGATCGTTTGGCGGGACGACACCGTTGAAGAGCATCAGATGGTGGTCAGACCGGAAGGGGTACGCGGTATCAGCCGGGTTCCTGGCGCCAACACCGGCGGTAGAGTACCCCTCGTGAAGGATGCCCGCGCCGGCGGCTAGGGTAGGATGGGAAATGGCGCGGGCGCGGAAGCCGTTGTAGATGAGCCGCTCGGCGGTGAGGTTGTAGACTTGGAGGCCGGCGGTGGTGGTGATGCGCTTGTTGCCTTTTTGGCAGATGAAGTCGTCTTCGGCGTTGCCTTGGACTTTGGAGACGCCGCTGTAGGGCACGTCGCCTTGCTCGTTGTAGACTGATGGGATGGCGTTGAATTCGGCCAGGAGGGCCTCTGCTTCGTTGGCCGGGCCGCGGTAGGCGAATGTCCAGGAGAGGATCGGGTCGGTGGTGGAGACGGTGGTGTTCATGAAGAAGAAGCCGAAATTGAGGGCCATGTTTACCGGTGTTGAGCCGTTGTTGTGGAGGCGGTTGAGGGAGGTGAAGACTCTTTCGAGCTGGGCGCCGGTCCAGATGTAGTTGTGGTAGTGCCAGGTGTCGGGGCCGCGGGGGAAGATGTTGAGTTCGAAGGAGGTGACGATGCCAAAGTTGTGGCCGGCGCCTTTCATGCCCCAGAGGAGGTCTGAGTTGCTTGTCGGGCTGACGCGGATGGCTCTGCCGTCGCCGAGGACGACGTTGAGCTGGAGGACGTTGTCTACCACCATGCCGTAGAGGCCTGAGGTTATTTGTCAGCTCAAAGTCTCATGTAGAGGAGCGAAATCTGACGAGCTCACCTTCATGTCTTCCATGACCGCCCCCCAACGCAGCCCCAAGGAGACCGACGCAGTCACAGGAACCGGTGGTTGTGACAAAACCCCGTTCCCAGAGGTATTTGGTGACCAAGCCGCCGTAGACACCACCTTGGAACCAAGCAGACTTTTTATTCGGCTGGATGGTAATGGTTCTCAGCAATGCCATGCTAATTTGAACGCCAGCGAAGGTTCCCAAACTGGCACTATTCCCGTGGCCGCCATTAGTGGCCAGAAAATCGATGCCGTTGGCATTGCAGTATTGCACCTGGTCTCCCTGTTAGCAACCATTACCTAACAAAGAAACCTCCTTGATAGCTTGAAACTCACAATCTTGGCCACATCTGCTTCGCTTGCAGGTTGAACAACAACCTGGATCTGTGGGGGGGCAAATGTGTTCCATCTTGCTGTGGTAGCAGGGAACTTTCCATCGCTAGGTCCGAAGATGAGCGTGCCGGGTGAAAGACGGCTTCCGAGCTCCCTTCTCACAGTATTGGCGTCCAAGTCGGCCCGAGTCCGAGCCTCAAGTTCGGAATACCTGGGGACTGAAAGGGCAGCTGCCAAGTTGAGGTGGACAAACACCAGCAACAGGGCGGTGGCAAGCCTGCCCCAAGCAAGTGAGACAAGACCTCTCATATCGAAAGGATCTACCGAGTGTGGAGGTAAATACGACTTAAAACACGGCCTTGGCGCGCGTGGGGAAAACGTGGGAGGACACAAGCAACGAGAATCCGATCTGCAGTGCACCGTTCGTGCATGAGACGGAGGAGGTAATCAAGGCTAGATGGTCAACTACTTCATCCTCCAAACCTACGGGTTCCGATGCTGGTATTTGAAGGATGAAATGGTCTCACTGTCCACCACCCCCAGCTCTACACAAACCGAACTCAACTGAGCTCAGAGTGGAAAGGCGTGAAGCCGAGCACACCATTTCCCTCTTCCCCTGTCCTCGTTGGACGCCACAAGCGTTGGCAGCATGTAAGAAAAAGGCTCACATCTATCCGTCAGGACCAGGCTAGTGAATGCCTCACGCCTTCGCCGGGCAAGCGATGTGGTTCAATATTGAAAGTTCCAACCTATCAAGTTTGGTGGCTCTAAGCGAGAGACGCCTCCTGTTGGACGAAAACAGGACAGTCTGTGATTCCTTCTGGTCAGATCGACATGATACCAGCAGGCTGGTAGCTGGATATGGTTAGGCGATGCAGGAACAAGCCTCATTGCTACATCTGAGCTCAGCTCCTCTGTCAGGCGAAAGGTGGGTAAGATGATACGTTCTCCTGCTCGGTAACCTATCAGATGAACTGGAGTTCTATGGGACATCCGGTGACTGAGCCGGGGAGCCGGCCAACGCGGATCCTGATTCCCTCCGGGACGCTTCTGGGACCATGGATCCTCCGTCCTATCCACCTTCCAAACATAGCACCCTTCGAGAGCATTCGACAGAAAAGCTTTCCATGGAACTTGGCCAATCGTCTGGCTCTGATAGCGAATGTCACGGAGCTTCTGTTCCGTATTACTGCAGGCCAACAAGGGCATTCAAAGTTACCTGGGCAGGGATTGTGCACGCTCAGCCCGGGTGACCACAAGCCGAGGAACTGAGTCCGAAGGCAGACGTTGACACGGTCTACCTTCATGCTGCCGCTGCCACACGCGTCAATGTCGTGAGCCAATCCCATCAAGTCAAGTCTGAGTCCAATCACTTATCTTTCCTGCTGTTTTTCTGAGCGGAATCTGTCTGCAATCAGGGGTACAAGGTACATCAAAGAAAGTGATCGTCCAAACATGCTCGATACGAAGAGCATCGGCGATAACAACAAGCGTGTCCATTGGATGTCGCTTTGTGGCTGCAGGATTGCTTCGGCCGATGCAAGTGCAAGGGGCCTGGTAACCTTCGGCCGAAAGATGGCTTTGGCTTGGCTTCGGCTTGACTTTCGGGTAGGGCTGAGAACAGGGGGTGGGGGGGCAATCAAAGCCGTTGTGCCTGTGTTCTCTCGGCCCGAACTGCCACGGGCCGAAGCGCAGATCCGATCGTGGTCACACCTTGGCGGTTGACGACAGCGTTGCGAGTTGCGCCGTCTTACTAGACGATGTGCCCAAAGTCTTGGAAGAGGGGTGGAAGAGGGGTCTTCAGGAAAGACACGATGTGCGCGCCCGGATCTGCTTGCTACTGACGGGTACCCGGGACAGCACCACTCCTCCAACTTCACGACAAGCCAGACATCACCAACTTCACCGTCGACACAATGGATCGTCTCACCTCCCCCTTCGAAGATGACTCCCCACACCGCTACCTCATCGCTTTGGCGACCGTCCCAGTTCTGCTATTCGCCCTCTACCAGTACCTCCTCCCCAAACCCATCCCCGGCATAGCCTACAATCCCTCCGCTGCCAAATCCCTCCTCGGCGACGTCCCCGAGATGATAGCAGAAGTAAGCCAAACGGGCGAGTTCCGCGTCTGGTGCGCCAAGCAAGTCCGCAAGATGAACTCCCCCATCTGCCAAATCTTCATCAAACCCTTCTCCCAACCCTGGGTGTTGCTCTCCGACTTTCGCGAGTCGCGCGATATCCTCACGCGGCGTCACAAGGAGTTTGACAAGTCGAGCTTTTTATCGGATGGCATGGCCTGCATGGGCGCGTTCCACGGTATTTACATGACCGATCACAAGTTCAGGGCGAACAGGCAGCTGATTCAGGATTTGATGACGAGCACGTTTCTGAATGGGCACGTCGGGCCGGCGATTTACAACAAGGGGTCGGAGCTGATGAGGTTGTTTGAAATGAAGGTGAGACTGGCGAGGGGGAGGCCGTTCAGTGTGAAGAAGGACTTTGAGTATGCCTCGCTGGATTGCATGTTGGAGTTTGCGTTTGGGAGGAACTGGGTTGATACGGCTGTTGGGGAGCAGGTCAAGGTAGTGGGAGGGTTGACGGAGGAGGCCCTGGTTATTTCGGTGTCGGTTGATGAGCCGGTCGACTTTCCGCTCGGTGAGATTGTGGACTTTTTGAAGTCGGTGTATGAGGCGCCAGAGATTGTGGAGAAGACGATCAATGCGATCATGCCGAAGCTACAGACATGGTGGTGGTCGCAGCAAGGGTGGTACAAAAAGATCTTTGATGACAAGGAAAAGGCGATGAAGGCCCAAGTTGCCATCGGAATCAAAAACTTTCAACAGGGCAAGATCGAAACGGGTGTGGAGCATATGCTGATGAGAGAAGCTGCTCGGGCAGAAAAGGAGGGAAGAGAACCTGATTTTGAGAGCCAGGTTTTCAGAGATGAGGTTTGCTACTCCCTTGTTGTCCTTCTTTGATTTGAGCTAATAGTAGGAAAGCTATTTGGAGATATAGTGGGAGGTCACCACACCACGTCTGGTGCCATGATGTGGCTTACCAAGTATCTCACCGATGACCCCACGATTCAGTCCAAGCTGAGATCTGTTTTGCACTCAACACTATCTGCGGCCCACCAAGAAGGCAGGCTGTTTACCTTTGAAGAGATCCGCCACGCCAAACTGCCCTACTTGGACGCCATCATTGAAGAAATGCTTCGCATCAATGCCGTGCCAGTTACCCGTGAAGCCGTGGTTGACACCACTGTTTTGGGGTGTCCGATCAAGAAGGGAACGCAGGTCTTCTTTATGTCGAACGGCCCAGGCTTTTTGTCGCCTTCTTTCCCGGTGGATGAAGCAAAGCGAAGTGATACATCCAGGTTATCTAAACGGGCCAACGACTCTTGGGATGAGAGGCAGGACCTGGCAAGATTCGATCCCGAGCGTTGGCTGGTGAGGAAGACAGATGGAACAGGTGTCACGGCTGATGATGTCGACTTTGATGGCGCAGCTGGGCCTCAGCTGGTGTTTGGTCTTGGGCCTAGAACATGCTGGGGCAGGAGGTTGGCGCACATGGAGATGAAGGTGATCATTGCCATGTTGGTGTGGACGTTTCAATTGGAGAGAACACCACCAGAGCTCTCTGGATATGGTGGCTTGGAGGGTATTGCTCGTGTTCCCAAGAAATGTTATGTTAGGTTAGTGAAGCTGTAGTAGCAGTTGGGTACAAAGAAATATGGGGAACCATTTCAGTGGCTCGCATAGCTTATAGTGACTTTTACATCCATTGTCCTGCTTTTTTATCGGACACGTGTGTTACCAATCCATGTTCAGTTAATCAGTCATACCACTCCCCCTGAGCAAGCTCTCATACCCCTGCTTCCACACCTTTTGCCCCTGCCCGCCAAAGCCGACCCCAATCTCATCATTGATTGACCCATCCTGCTTGGTGTTCTCCAACAGGTCAAAGAACTTGTCGATGTATTCGTCAAGCGGCATAGGCTGCACCGCCTTCTCAGGCCCGCCCTGCAGCGCATCGGTTTGCTCTCTGTGATGAGCATTCAGGGGTGTGTCGACATAGGGCGGTGCCACTTCCACAACGCTCATTCCTTTGACACCAGTCGCCTCAAGCTGCCAGCGTAAGATCTTGCAAAAGGACGCCACGCCGGCTTTGGAAGGGCAGTAGGTTGGGTAAAATGGAACAGGGAAATACGCCAGCGAGGAGCTCGTAAGGAAGATGTTGGTTTTGATGCCTTGTTTTGCAAGAGACAAAAGATGGGCGGCAAAGGCCTGAGCGACAAGAATGGGTGCAACCAAGTTGGTTGTTAACTCTTGAATGGCTTCCTGGGCGAGATTGGGGGGTGGGTTTTGGAAGATGTCGTAGTGGTTTTGGATGCCGGCGTTGACGAAGACAGTGTCAAGCTTGGGAAAGTGGCGGAGGATACCGTCAACTTGGGGCTGCAGTGAGTCGAGCTGGGTGAGATCCCACTGCGAACGAGGGGTTAGCGACAAGTATCATGGCAGTGTTGGTGGGGCAATACGTGCAATGCGGTACTCCAGGCCTTCAAGCTCGTTGACAATCTGCTCTAATCTCTTTCTGTCTTGCTCCCTTCCAGTTACGATGACCTGTTTACCCAGGCTATGGAATCGACGAGCTGTAGCCTCGCCGATCCCGCCAGCTGCTCCGAGGATGAGAATGGTGTTGATACGGGACGACATTTCGTGGTGTAAGTGGGGTCACATCAACGGTCTGCGGAGTGCTGCGGGGAGGATTGGTGCCATATGTTTACATCAAGATAAGGTAGATACAAGATAAATCACCTCCAGCTCACCCCACAGCGGCCAGGTGCTGCCCGTGCTGATACTTGGAGTAGGACCTTCTACTCCACGCCCACTGGCTGGTACTACGCTGCAGATCGATCGGCTTTATTGGCCAAAGACAAGAAGTAATGTCGGCCGAAGACGAGTGGGGCTGTCATGAAGGGATCTGACCAATCGGAGCCCTACGTGGCACTTGTACCAATTCTTTCCTAAAGCAACGTCGCTTGAGGACATGGAGCAACCGAAACATGGCGGGTGCTCTATGACGTCTTTTCATTGGACACGTGAAAAAAGACTTGTCACAGAGAACCGGGCATTGGGCACAGTGAGAGCCGTTGGGTGTCAATACATCCAATCATTGATTCAAGAAGTCGTAACACAAATAAATACCAGACACAAGGCTACCCCAGCCTGCCTCCTCCTCCTCCAGCCCAAACACTGTCTCAGCGCTTGAGATAAACCTCCAACAGTCCCAACGGTCCATTGTCAAAGACATTCCTAATCTCATACCGCGAATCAGCCTCCTTCAGCAACTGCTCAAACTCGGCCTTGGTCCTCTGCTTTCCACCACAGTTCACAATCATGACCGAGTCAACCTGTCTGACGACACGCTCTTGGTGACGGGGCCAGACACCAGGCTCGGGGATGATGATGTCGTTGATCAGCAAAGGGGTGTTTGGGCTGGAGTTTTCCAGGCCAGGAACGAAGCCCTTGAAGATCCTGACGACGTCCTTGTCAGCCCAGTTGTGGGTGCACTGGCGGATCAAAAACGCGGCCGCGTCCTTGACTGGTTGCGGGTCGAAGAAGCTGTGCTTGGAGTAGGTCACTCTGTCGGCGAGCTCTGGCGAGAGGGATTCCTTGCCCTCGGCGAGCATGTCGGCGTTGCTGTCCTGCACGATGCACTTGATGTTGGGGTAGGCCTATTCGAGGTCAGTGACTAGCAAGTCCGTCGCTAACTCTCACCAAGAAAACAAATACCTCAGCCAAGCTCTTGCTGATGTGGCCATTGCCTCCTCCACAGTCAACCACTGTGCCGTTGAGAGCACCCCAGTTGAAGCTGTCGTAGAGAAGGTAGTCCAGGTGTCGGTCCATCTTTCGGAGGCCAGCCATGGCTTTGGCAAAGCGTCGGGCTTTGGCGGGGTCGTTCTTGTAGAACTCAAAGATGCCAACGCCGTGGCGGGTCACGAAGGGGTTGAGGTTCTGGTGGCATTCGTATGGGTGAGCCTTGAAGGTGATGTTGCAGTCGGCGGCGGCCTTGAGCATCTCATCGAGGCTGTAGTGGACCACGGAGCGGAGTTCCTCATCTTGCTGCATGAGGAGGGAGGTGTTGCTGTGGGAGATGACCCTTGGTTGGTGCTCCTCAAAGATACGATAGGTCATCAGTTGGCGGATGATGCGCCCCGTGCGGTCCGCGTCGAGACCGGCCTTTTCGGCAAGCTCATCGATGGTGATGCTTCCATGCGCAGGGACGAGTTGGAAGAATTCAAAGTCCAGGGCAACCTCCCCATGTTAGACGTGGCCGCCGGAGATTCAGGGAGACACATACCTGAACGAGACCAAGATCATAGCCGGTGCAGCAGAACTCTCTCAGCCATTTCCGGGGACCGTCAATGAGGCGTTGTAGGTCCTCTAGACTGGTCTTGAGGCCGGCGTGGATCTCACGGTATTCTAAGGTGGCCGGAGGATCTTGAGATTCGAGTGAAAAGGTGGGAGCCACCAAGTTGTTTGCTTGGAGATATTTTGTGAGATCCTGTGTGAGGTTGAGGATGTTTTGGGCCAGGCCCAGGATAGATTCGGATCCTTGAGTAGCCATGACGATAGGGGTATGTATCGCAATTGGTAGCAGATAGTCTCACAGACGCCCGCGAGCAGTATGATTCTTTATGGCAATGTGCTGACTTTTGATGGCTTTGTTTTGGTCTTATTCACGAGTATTGATATCTCGAAAGCATCACATGCTAGAGGCAACATCGCCCGATACGTCTCTCATGTCATGTATGCCCCTGCGCACAGTGCAACATCAAGTCTTCAGGGCCCTGCCGGCATGGTTCATGCAGGGCGGACCTCCCCCGCAGCGTGGCAAAGCCGGCATCGGGCATACCCGCCCGGGATTGTATCGCGGAGGCAGTATTCATCCGTGCTTATCAGTCCCTGGCTTATCAGGCTAAGGTGGTACGGTAGTGATGGATAAGGTACACGAAAGAGCTTCGGCCGATGCGACTATCGCTTGGACCGACAGCAGACAGCCAATCCCAGATGCAGCTACAACCATCTACATCCTAAAGTAGCCTTGCCGAGGTAGTGACTAGATCGGACTGTACATCAGCATACTGGAGATACAGTAGATAGCATCAAGAATGAGGCAATATCGGACTAGGATACGTGGACTGGCCACTGTGTTGAAGAAGTGATATCAAAACTGTCTTCCATCGCGACACTCCTCAAGAAATGGATCTTTAACAACATCACTCAACTGATATCTCAACGACAGACACATTCTACCTATCTAGGTATTCAACATTTACGCAACCAACACAGTATTCGTTGTTGAGACCGAGCCATCACAATGGCCTCCAATTCAGAACCCCAACGCGAGCAACATGAGCCAGTTGCCATTGTCGGCATGGGTATGTCCAATGCCATTTCCTTCTACCCCTTCAAGCCACCCATAGAGAAAAGAAGGCCCTGCTAATCCTTCAACCAACGTATAGGATGCCGTTGGCCCGGCGGTAGCCACACTTCAGAACAGTTCTGGAACTTCCTCTGCAACAAGGTCGATGGCTGGAAAGAGTTTGACGACCCACGCTTCTCCTCCAAAGGCTTCCACCACCCAAACTCCGACCGCCCAGGAGGCTTTGCCATGAAGGGGGCGTTCCTGGGTCGGGATGATGCTAGGCTGTTTGATCACAGCTTCTTTGGGATGACCCAACTAGAGGTGGAGACAATGGACCCTTCACAGAGAAAGCTGCTCGAGTGTGCTTATGAAGCCATTGAGAATGCTGGCGAGTCGCTCGAGAGTATATCTGGGAAACAGACTGGTGTTTTTGTTGGCAACTTTTGCCTTGAGTAAGGATTTGACTTTTACCTTCCACGCTATAAGATACTAGACTGACCAGAATGAAGCCATTGGACACTGCAGTCACGAGACTGGGATAATCCGAGACCGTATGCCTTTGTGGGAGCAGGCACCAGCATTCTTGCCAACAGAATCAGTTACATCTTTAATCTCCAGGGACCAAGGTATGATCCACTGACCCACGCAATCTTGTGGTCTATTGCTAACATATTACTGCAACAGCTTGACCATTGACACAGCGTGTTCGAGCTCCATGTATGCCGTCCACTGTGCTGTCAACGCTATCCGTGCCGGAGATTGTGACTCTGCTATCGTGGCTGCAGGCAACTGGATAGCAGACCCTACGGTCCAGATAGCCCTCGATAAGCTCGGTGCTTTGTCTGCGTCGTCGAGATGCCACACCTTTGATGCCAGAGCCGAAGGCTATGCACGTGGAGAGGGGTGGGGAGCCATCTACCTGAAGAGACCCTCGACCGCTTTGGCGGATAACTCGCCTATCCGAGCTTTTATTCGAGGCAGTGCTGTCAACTCTAATGGGAGGACTGGTGGAATCACGAGGCCCAGTGCTCTCGGCCAAGAGACGGTGATTCGTGAAGCATATCGCAATGCTGGTGGCCTTCCGTTCAAGGACACCAGTTATTTCGAATGCCATGGGACAGGCACTTATGTGGGAGATCCAATCGAAGTGTAAGGATGATCTTCCAAACCATGAACTGTGTTGGTTGTTAACAGAATATTGCAAAAACAGTGCGGCCGTGGGCAGGGTCTTTGCCTCGGTGCGAGAGCCAAAGGACCCACTCCTTGTCGGATCAGTCAAGAGCAACGTGGGACACGGGGAAGGTGCAAGTGCTCTGGCGTCCATCATGAAAGTGGTGCTGGCTCTGGAGCGTGGTGCGATTCCGCCCGTTTACGACCTCCAGACACGCAACCCCAACATCGACTTTGACGCAGCCAATGTGCAGCCCGTCACGGAAGTTACACCGTGGCCCGAGGGAAAGATCCGACGTGCGTCTATCAACTCATTCGGATACGGTGGTGCCAATGCGCATTGCATCATCGACCATGTCACCAACGTCTGGCCGGATTATGTCGCTCCTGGCGTTTTCAACAAGAGCAGGGCGGTGACCAACGGTCATACCAACGTCCATGCCAATGGGCATACAAACGGATCGACAAACGGTCACACAAATGGCAATGGCAATGGCACGTCAAATGGCCATCAGAACGGTTCTGTTCAACACAGTCCCGTCGTCAAGATCAAGACGACTGCCGTGCCCGGGGCCAGCACTCGCCAATCTGTTCTGCTGCCTCTCTCAGCTCACAATGAACAATCCCTCAAGCTCAACATCGAAGCCTTGGCCAAGGCTGTTGACCAGTTCCCCTTGGCAGATGTCGCATACACACTCAGTAACCGTCGGTCTAAATTCGCCCAGCGATCCTTTGCCATTGTGGACAAGGACAATGTCGCCAACGACCTTCTCAGTGTAATCGACAAGAAGCCGACCAGAGCTCCGCTGCATACCGCCAGTCTTGGATTCATCTTCACTGGACAGGGTGCTCAGTGGCATGCTATGGGGTCGGGCCTTTTCCAGTACCGCATTTTCCAAAACACCATCCAGCATCTTGACCATGTCCTCGGCACGCTCTCCAACGCCCCTGCGTGGTCGTTGTACGACATTCTCTCTGGAAACTGCGATCCCTCCTTGATCCAAACCGCCGAGGTCTCGCAAGCTGCCTGCACGGCTGTTCAAGTCGCCCTTGTCGACCTTCTTGCTTCCTGGTCTATCCGTCCTTCAGGTGTGGCTGGGCACTCATCTGGAGAGATCGCTGCTGCCTATGCTTCTGGTCGGATCACTGCTGCCGAGGCCATAGTCGCTGCTTATCTCCGTGGCCAGGCTGTCTCCAGAAACAAGCAAACAGGTGCCATGTTGGCTGTCGGGCTTGGATTCGATGACGTTGTCAAATACCTCGACGGCAAAGAGGACGAGGTCAAGGTGGCTGCCATCAACTCCCCTGGTAGCGTGACCCTATCCGGAGAGGAGCCCACTGTCGACAGCATTTCGGCGGCCATGACAGCGGATAGTGTGTTTAACCGGAAGCTCAAGACCGGTGGCAATGCCTATCACTCACACCACATGATCCCCATCGGCCGTGAGTATGTCGAGCTCTTGACCGAGGGGACCGAGCACCTTCGTAAACTTGGCCTGGCCTCGTCCAATGATGCCGCCCGCTACCAGCCCACACTCTGGGTCTCCTCCGTAACTCCCGCGAAGAGCACATCCGGTCTCGGCAGTGATGATCTCGCTTCCTACTGGAGAGCCAACCTCGAGTCCCCAGTTCGTTTCTCAGAAGCGGTGGCAGGTCTGGTGCAGAACGCCGACGGGGTTCGTATCCACGCTCTTGTCGAGATTGGACCTCATCCTGCGCTCAAAAGCCCTCTTGAGCAGATCCTGAAGGCAGCGGGTGTCAAGAATGTTGCGTATGCTGGGTCGACACTGAAGCGAGGAGAAGGCGCTCAGACATCGATGCTGCAACTTGCTGGCTCGCTCTTCGCTTTGAACAGTGAAGTGAACATTGCGGCCGTGAACGCGGTTGAATCTTCCCACGATGGGAAGGGAGATCTGGAGCATGGCGTTACATGTGTTGACCTACCACCGTACCGGTATACCTACGGTGGTCTCAACTACCACGAGAGTCGGGCAAGCAAGGAGTATCGCTACCGATCTATTCTCCGACACGATCTTCTGGGATCCAAGATTGCGGGCAATGCCAAACTTCGACCACAGTGGCGAAACATTCTTCGTCTCAAGGACGTTCCCTGGCTCGGTGACCACAGGCTCTTGCCTGATGCTGTTCTGCCTGGTGCAGGGTATCTGGCCATGGCCATCGAGGCTATTGCCCGTATTCACAACGAGCTACCTCCCAATCCCCCCATCGAAGGCTTTGTGCTCGCCGACGTATCCATCAAGAAGAGTTTGGTCATTCCAGAAGACGATTACGGCGTTGAAGTCTTGACCAGCTTGGAACTTGTTGACGCGCAGACACCAGCGTGGGCCACCTTTTCCATCAGCTCCGTGGGCAGAGAAAGCGAAGAGTGGATGGAACACTGCACTGGTAGAATCAAGGTCGCTCTTGAGGGCTCAGATGACTCCGTGGAGAAGACTGCTGTTGCGCCCACCACCCAAAGGGCTCTTGATGGGCGGGTTTGGTATGAGAAGTTTGCTGAAATTGGTCTCGGTTACGGAGAGACCTTTCAGCCAATCTCTCATATCCGCAGTGATCCCACATTCAACGTCGCAGTGGCAACCCTCAACTTGCGGTCCACAGCCGGGCTTATCAAGGGTGGGGAGTCGGCCTATCCCTTGCACCCTGCTTCCCTTGATGGTGCCATTCAGCTGGGTCTGATCGCCTGCCACGCCGGCCGTTCTGAGGACGCCACCACGGCATTCGTGCCGGTCCAGCTTCCCCGGCTCTATTTGTCGAACAATATCAATGACTTGGCCGGAGACAAGTGCACCGTCGTCGCCCATGGCGAAAAGCGTGGTATTCGTGGTGCCCATCTTGACTTGCAGTTGCTCGGGCCTAATGGTGAAGTGATGCTTGATGCCGAGGGTCTTCGGTGCATCAGCTATTCCAGTGCAGCCAAGACCACCGAGGACAGAACCTTTAGCAGCCCCTTCACTCGGCTGGTATGGAGGCCTGACATCCGCACTCTGCGCAATGGTCGTGCTCGCGAGATGTACCCTCCCCCAAGGGATAACGTCAAGAAGGCACCATCGTGGGGTATCACCAACAAACTAGCCCACTTTGTCGTTTACAGCATGTACATGATGTACGGCACGCTCCCTGAGGATGACATGCCTAAGCCCTCAGGGGATGTTGGTCATTTCTTCGACTGGATCAAGCGAAAGGGACAAAACGACAACTCTGAACTCATGCAAGAAGCTCGGGAATATGCCAAGCAAGGTCTTCTTCTCAACAAGATCGATGAGCTTGTCAGCGAGGCCCCGGATGTCATTGAAGTTCAGGCTGCCAAGTTGCTCCATGACAGCATGGCCGACATTCTCTTTGAGCGCAGGACCGGTATTGATGTGCTCATCAGTGAAGGTCTCCTGACCCCATTGTACAAGGAGGGTCTCCTCATGACGGGTATCTATCCTCAACTTCACAATGTTCTCGCTGGTGTTGCTCATAGCAACAGCCATCTGCGTGTTTTGGAGATTGGTGGAGGTACAGGTGGCGCCACCCGGATTGCCATGAAGGCCTTCAATGGACCGAATGGTATCAAGTCTTACAAGGACTACACCTTCACCGACATCTCGGCCGGATTCTTGTCCGGAGCCCGCGAATCCATGGCCGACTTGCGGGATGTCAACTTTTCCGTGTTTGACATTGAGGTTGACCCTGTTGAGCAAGGATATGTTGAGAAGAGTTATGATCTTATCATCGCCTGTCAGGTGCTTCACGCCACCTCCAACATGAAGAGGACTTTGACCAACTGCCGAAGGCTTCTCAAGCCTGGTGGACAACTCGTTCTTGTTGAGACGACGGAGAACTTTATCGTTCCAGGTGTGGTGGTCGGTACCTTTACGGGCTACTGGAGCGGTATCCCTGACGGTCGAGTGGATGCGCCTTTCCAAAGCCTTGCATCTTGGGACAGGACTCTCAAGGAAGCTGGGTTCCAGGGGCTAGATGTTGTCTTGGACGACTTCCCCGAGCCTCACAACACAACGTCCGTCATTCTCTCTACTGTACCACCAGAGGAGTTTCCTGTCTCTGGAGAGGGCACTGTTCATGTTCTTCATTCGGGCAGCGAGGCACCTGCACTTCTTCAACACCTTGCTCAGGAGTTCCAAGGCCGCGGCATTACTGTCAAGCCCGGCACCTTTGACGGCATAGGCGAGCTTCCCTCAGAGTCTCGCGTGGTGGCCCTCTTCGACGATGGGCATCTCCTTCTCAACGCAAGCGAGGAGGACTTCAGCAGGTTTCAGAAACTGGTCAGGCAGTCGTCAAGTCTGGTGGCGATCACGAGCTCTGGAGTAGCCAAGGGGCTGAATCCAGATGCTGCTGTCATTCCGGGACTGCTCCGTGTGCTCCAGAACGAAAATCCCGGGGCTCAGTACATGTCTGTTGACATTGCGGCCGACAATTTCACCATCGAAGCGGCCGAGGACCAGCAACACTTTGCCAAGTGCATCGCCGACTACGAGTCTGAGCTTTATGGCGCTACTCGGTCTCCGCCGCTGGACGACCTCGAAGGCACCCCCAAGGATCGTGAGCTTTCCTGGCAAGACGGTTACTTTTCCGTCTGCCGTCATGTCCCTGATACAGGGTTCCACTCCCAGCATGGCCTGGATAGCAAGAAGTTCAAACCTGATACCATGCCTCTGGGCAGCCAGGGTGCGGTGAAGGCGACATTTGAGACTCCTGGTGTGATCAACTCATTGTGCTTCGAGCCATACAAGGAGATTCTTCAGCCTCTCCCAGCTGGCTTCATTGATGTTGCTGTTGCAGCTGTCGGTCTCAATGCTCGAGACCTCGACACCTGGACGGGTCGTTTGGACAGCGATCACTTTTCTTCAGAGTACTCGGGCGTCATCACTGCAGTCGGTGCCAACGTTGACGGCCTGAACGTCGGCGATCGTGTGTGTGGTTTGGGCAAAGGCCAGTTCGGAACTGCCACCCGCGTACCGGCTGCCTTTGCAAGCAAGGTTGAAGATGGAGATGATCTCGTTCAGATGGCGTCCTTGCCGCTGTCTTCTGTGACAGCGGTCTATGTGCTGGATCACGTTGCTCATATTCGCAAAGGCCGGTCGATTTTGGTTCAGTCTGGTGCAAAAGATGTCGGACTTGCACTCATCTCTCTTGCCAAGGCTAAGGGCGCTCATGTCTTCGCTACTGCAGAGACCAAAGAAGAAGCCAGGTTCATTGTTGAGAAATGCGGCTTGCTCGAGTCTCATGTCTTGGCTGGAGCCACAAGCCTGGCTGCTCTTCAACATGCGGCTCAGCTGACAGCTAGAGGAAAGTTCGACGTCATCGTCAGCACTGCATCGAGAGGCCATTACCTGGATTCGTATCTGCAGGTCTTGTCGTCAGTAGGTCATTTGGTGGAGCTGGATCCTCAGGCTGTCGACTCGACACAGTCTACCAGCATCAAAGCTTCCTATAGCTCACTCGACATCTTTTCTGCCGTCGAGTCGGACCCAGAGCTTGGCCAGGAGCTCATGCAGGCTGCCAATGAGTACTATCGTCAAGGCATCGTCACTCTTCCTCCCAATGTGACGACCACCGATATCTCTCAACTCTCGACTGTCATTGGCGGTTTCAACAACCTCATTGGCAAGCTGGTGGTGAGATTTGACAACCCAAGCAGTTTGGTGCGAATGATTCCCGCTGCACCAGCTGTCACATTTGATCCTGATGCTGCCTACGTCATCACTGGCGCTCTCGGAGGTCTTGGTCAGTCTCTTGTTCGCTGGATGGGTGACAGAGGTGCCCGGCATCTGGTTCTTCTTTCTCGTCGTGATATCTCGACTGTGCCTGATGCTCAAAAACTGGTCAACACTCTCGCCAAGCGCGACATCCACGTCGAGTCTTTTGTGTGCGATGTGAGCAGCAAGGAGCAGGTCGACACTGTGATTCAACAAATCTCGGCTGAACGTCCCATCAAAGGTGTTGTTCACGCGGCGGTCTCCTATCTGGACCTCACCTTTGACAAGCTCTCGGCATCAAGATGGAATGACGGTCTCTCAGCCAAGGTCCAAGGAACCAAGAATCTCCATGAGGCCACCTTGCCCATGCCGCTCGACTTCTTCGTCATGACCACCTCGGCCTTGTCTGTTTTTGCGTTTGCCACACAGGGTTCCTATACCGCTGCCAACAACTTCCAAGACGCATTTTCCCGGTATCGACGCAACCTCGGTCTCCCTGCCTCGACGGCCTCTTTCAGCTTGATCAAAGAGGTCACAGAAGTCGGCACCAGCGACCTCACGGTAGACCTCTTTGAGCGCAACAAGACCCTCACCTTGACAGAGTCGCAGTTCCTGACCATGTTTGAGCCAACATTCCTCAACAACACGACACACACAACTGCTGGAGCGGCGGCCTGGTCTGGCAAGGACGATGATCCGTTGTCGGCAGCCAACTTGCACACCTACCTGGACCCAGCAGCCTTGATGACCAAGAAGCGACAAGACACCTCATCCTCCCAGGCAACACCAAAGTGGTACACCGACGCCCGCATCTCCCTTATGATGCGCGCCTTCCTTGATGCCCAACATCACGAGTCAGCCAACTCCGGCGCGGCTCTTGATACAGAAGGATCAAAGAACACGCCTGCCTCAATTAGAAGGAACTTTGAGGCGGCGGTTGCCGGCGGTGACAAGGCTTCCACAGTGGAGTTTGTAGAGGACGCGATTACTCGCGTGGTGGCGGACATGTTGTTTGTTGACGTGGAGGGTATTGACCCGGCCAAGTCGGTGGCGGACTTGGGAGTGGATAGTCTGATTGCGGCGGAGTTGAGGAATTGGTTTTTGCAGGCGTTGGGGACTAGTATTAGTATGCTTGATTTGTTGGATCCGAGTGTGAGCATTAGTTCGAGGGCGGAGGGGATTACTGAGAAGGCGATTGAGGTGAAGGGGTGAAGGGGATGACTTTGGGGATGGCGTTTTGGGGTGATACAGGGTCGGGGCGTTTGGTCTGTGATTTACCTTGAGGCGTTAATCCTTTTAGCATGATTGAATGATTAGATTGATACATGTTTTCACCAGGTGCTTGATTCTTCTATGCCACACACCTAGGTACCTATAGAGCATTCTGCCATGCTTTTAACTGCTACTTCTGATTCGACACCCTGCAATCTCCCCAATTCCATGTTACTGATTCACTTGCAACCATGCCAACTATCTTCCTATCCGCTGTGTTTTGGGCTGACATGTCCTGCGTCAGGATCATCAACCCGTCAATTCTGGAACCGCGCTTAGAGCTCAGAGGGACCCTCAAGAGAATTCTTTTTCGCCACGCGACTTCGAGGCGCATTTTCCGATCCTTCATCACGCAAAGCTGTTGCTGGCTGAATTTATTGTTCCCCCGGGTGCCATCTTCACACCATTTCAAGGTTTCATTCGCCAGTTCCAAGGCCCTGGCGGTTCGGCCATCCAGGTCGAGATAATAGACGAGATGGTCGGCCGCCAGAGGCATCTCGGGATGGTCAAGGCCCAGAACATCCACACCTGTCTGTAAAACATGGTGCAGAAGATCGAGTCCTTCTTCTCTCGTGTCCGGCCCTTCCATCAGGCTACTGGCCAGGTTACTCTGGCACTCCAAAACGAGTAAATCTTTGTTCCTGACCTGCTTCTCGGTTTCTTGGCAAACCTCGCGCCATAACAATATTGCCCCGGCCAGGTTTCCCGTTTCCCGCAGGATGTATGCTAGACTTGCCTTGTACTGCAGTGTATCCGTGTGATGCCTGCCAAGTACACGTTCACTCCTCTCGACCACGTCCGTCTGCATGACCACTGATCGATCTCTTTCGCAGGTGGTTGCTAGTGCTGTGGCAAGGTGACTTTGGCTGCGCATGGTATTCGGGTGGTCCTGTCCCAGAATATCCATACGCACTCTGAGCAAGTTCTCACCCAACTCAACCCCGTCGCGTACGTTTAGTTTTCGTACTCCAAGCAGCCATACTAGCAAATCCATGGTAGACATTGTTTCCACATGACCCTCACCAAAGTGTTCTTTTTCCAGTGTCAAGCACTGTTGAAAGCAAGCTGTCCCTTCGTTGTAACCACCATTTACGACGTGATAGTATCCAACGTGGTAAAGAAGCCGGGATTGTTCAATATCAATCTCTCTCTGTAAGCCAGCAGAGCTGCTCGTACACTTGTAGTTGAGAATAAGATCTACATGTGGCAAGAGTGATTGACTCAGTGTCCACCAATCGGCATTACAAACCTCCAGCCCTTTGGGAAAGCGCCGCTTAATTGAACGAAGAGCCGCGAATGCCCAGTTGTTCTCTTCATCAAGGCCGTCTGTTTTGAGCCACCACCTCGTGGCAATCTGGACCAAACGATGGGTGCTCAGGGTCTGCCTCGGTGGGTTGCCGTGAATATTAACCAAAGAATAAGCGCGTAGAATAACCAACGCCTCCCTGGCATCATCTTCCGTGATTGTCTCTGCTTTCAGGCTGCCTTGATTATCACGGTAGTCGTAGTCAACATCCTGTACAAGTAAAACAGGAATGCTCTGATTTTGAAAGAAGCTCACAAGATAGAGCAATTTGGCGGCATGCGGATTTTGGACAGCCCTGAACGAGATAGACCAGGCTTTGGCGACTGACACAAGAGACTCCTCCTGACGACCGTGATCTGTGAAGTCAAATGACAGGAGCTTGAGCTGCGTAGTATTGCTGCCGTGATATTCCTCTAGATACTCGCCGATGGTTATCTCACGCGTCGAAATATATACCAGCGCTTGGGTCAGTGCCAAGGGAATGTGCTCTAACGCTTCGACCAGCTTTCTTATCACCTCATCATCCTGTGGGAGCCCTTCTTCCATTCGTGTTTTGACCAGTTTTGGGATTTTGATGAAGGCTCTCGGACTCGAATTGGTCACCCGCCTTGCAATGTCTTGTGATCTTATTGTTGAAGAGCAACCTGCCGCGAGGCTTTCGCGGAATGCAACCCCATAGTGTCTTGTCACTGGAGACGTGGTCCTGGAAGAGGCTCTTTGGGTCGTCGACATTGTCAATGACCATGATCCAGGGGTTTGTATTGGTATTGTAGCCAGTCATGCACAATCATGACTTTGTCGCTGGTCGAGTCGCTCCGTTCAGTCAAACCGCAGTGGTTTGCAATGAGAGTGAATGACTCCTGGAGCCTGGTCGCTGTGGCGGCGTGGATCCAGAATACCGAAAGCTTTCCCCGCGCCCTGCAACAGTATTCCAACGCAATTTGGGATTTCCCGATACCCCCAAGACCACAAAGGGCAGCTTTGGGTTGGCTGCCCTCTTTGCCAGTGAACGCTTGGTCGAGGTTTTCAACGATGGAATCTCTACCGACGAACAATGGATTTCGATCAAATGGAACGAGCCTGAAGGGATTTGACTTGTTGTCATCGGGTGACGATTTCGACTCCCCAGAACCAATGAGCCAGACGACATGATGAAACTCCAGAACGTTGATGTGTTGTTTGATTGCAGATTCAAGAGTGTCGATCTTTTTGTCGAGGACCAAGCTCACAAATGCCTTCATTTTCAGCCATCTGGAATCGGCGACCGACGGGAGAGCTCCAGCAATGCACTCAGCTCATCAGCTGCCTGAGAACACTCCTTGATGACAAGAACGAGACTAGCTGCCTTGGGAGGTTAAAAAACACCAGCGATGGCCCGGTCCTTGATTTTATCCAGTCCGCTCACAATGAGCGGGAGCTTCGTCTTGACATGACGGAATGCTCGCGGGATTTCATCGAGGGTGCCATGGAAGTCAGAGAGGCCTTTTATTGTTTTGGAACCCACTTCGATGAACTGGACAATCGCAGCTGCCAGGCCGACGGCTGTCACTGGATCCATGTGTGGCAATGAAAAGATGATGACTGGAAGTTGAGTGTAGCTGCCAGGCCGAACGGACCCCCCCCCCCCCCCCCCCCTTTATCTGGAGGGGATTTCTAACACAAAACCTCCTCCAGTCGCGATATATTGACACTGATTACGTACCCTGCCTTCCTGTAGAACCTTCGCTTCGGACCGTGACACTCTTCGCCTTCCATAGGAACCTAGTAATATTTCGGTGCCACAGAAAAGGTCCTTCCTTGTGGCAAGTTGTAGGTCTTCAATTATACATGTATTCTTGTTACTTTGCGCTTTATAATCAGTGTCTATTACCTAAATGACTTATTTCCAAACATGCCTTACCGCTCGCATGGTCAATTCACCCGCCCTGAACCTTTGCAATGTCTGTGCTCGCAGAAGTCCCGTCACTCGAAGCAGCCGCTTCTTCATCCTTCTTCTTCTTCGCTACGCCTGGTTTCTTAATCGGCTTCCAATCAAGCACAAATGTGACAAGAAACGCACAACCGGCAGCAGCCACACTGATGTAGTATGTGTTCCTGAGGCCCAACACATATGCCGCAAGTACCCGTTCCACAGCTTCTGGACGCCCGATCCTTTCCAACACCTGTCGAATCTGCGATGCGCCACTGTTCAGAATAATTGCAGGGTCAATTCCTGGAGCATCCCGCAGCATGTTGGTCATCAACCCGTTCTGAAAGACAGTTTGCGACACGGCAATGAATACCGCTCCCCCGAATGCCTGGAAGAACTGGACACATGCCGTGGCTTGCGCGATCAGTTCTTGAGGTAGACAGTTTTGCACGACGACTATTGGTGCCTGGAAGCAGACACCGGTTCCGAATCCCATGATGATTTGGTATCCGAACCACTTTGCAAAGGGGGTGTCGATCCAAAACGTGGCAATCAGTGCAGCGCCAGTCGTGAGAAAGGCAGTTTCGACAAACATGACGATGTTGTATGATCCGATGGCCGTGACGATTATACCACTGAGCACAGACGATACGACCATGGCTATCAAGAAGGCGAGAAGCTTGATACCTGCCTCGACTGCATTGTTGCCCTGAACAGCTTGGAAATACAGTGCTGTGACCAGCTGTTAGTGAGTTGGGTACCTCGCCAAGACACCGAAAAGACTTACACAAATAATAGACCATCGGATAGAATGACGCGCCAAAGAACATGGCAAACATCATAGCCGCAAAGACGTTTCTGTTCCTGAAGAACCGGGGTGGAATGATCCCCTTGTCCTGCTGCCAAACCTCGACTCCCGCAAACACAGCACCTCCCACACTCGCCCCCACTAGAAGGCCAATGACTTTCGAATCACTCCACGGATACTCAAGCCCTCCCCATTGCAACGCCAAAAGCAGCATGATCACGCTGGGAAGCATGATTGCCGTGCCTACCAGATCCAGCTGCAAAACCCTCTCCATCCTCCCCTGCGCAGGCAAACCAGAATCAGGCTTCTTGACCCGGAGAAAGAAAATAATGACCGCCATCGCCACGCCTCCAATCGGGAGATTGATGTAGAAGCACCACCTCCAAGTCACCTTCTCGGCAAAAACACCGCCCAGCAACGGCCCGGCCACGCTTGATATCCCCCAAAGCGCACCAACCCCACCGAAAGCAGTCGGTCTTTTCCGGAGCGGCAGCAAGAGTCCAACGATGAAAAACGACCCGCTGAATATGCCTGCTGTACCCAACCCTGCGATCGCCCTGCCAACGATGAACACTGTCGAAGTCGGTGCCACGGCTGAGATCAGACTCCCCAGCTCAAAGAGAAAGACGGCGCTCAGGTAGGTGATTTTGATGTCAAAGAGTCGGTAGATTGTTCCGTAGAGGGGTTGAAGGGCGGTCATGGTGAGGAGGTAGGAGGCGCCATACCAGCCGATGTCGCGGGTGGAATCGAACTCGGACGTGATGGATCCCAAGGCCGGGGCGATAATGGTCTGATCGAGGGCGACGAGAAATATGGCGAGGCAGAGGGATAGGAGGACCAGCCAGAGTTTGAGGCCGTGAGGGTATTGTGACTCGTCATCTTCTGAGAGAGCATCGTTTTCGGTGGGTGTGATAGTGTGTCCTGAGGCCGTCATGATGGCTGATGGAGCCAACTGTGGTCCATTGCACCCGCTTTGGGGACCGGCGGTGAGGACGGTGGTATCTGGGGGAAGCTCATCCTGAAGAGGTTTTGCGGTGGCAGCCATGTTGGGCAGCGTGTGGTTGGCCAAGATGTATAAGCATAACAGATTTATTTGGTCATGGCGAGGTTAACTAAAGTAGGTCAGTTGACTAAACAAACACTACCGCGAGGCGGAGGGAAGGACACTAGGAAACAACCACTCCAGATGTGAGAGAATGGGCACCATCGTGTTTCTGGGCTCGCGTCTGTGTTGCGGCCCGCTCCACATTCACACCAGCGCATTCGAGTCTACGTCCAAGCTTCCCGGACAGCACCAATGGCAGAAGGGAACTCGAACACATTCTCCATATCCTTTCCACGTCGACACTCTTAATAATCAACAAGCTTCTCTCACCCCCTATGAGACATGGGGTGTTAGGTGTACACCATGTTTCGGCCGAAGGCATCCCTGGGTTTCGGCTTTAACCACGCCGCGAGTTTCTAATCTGTCAGGGGCAGCGTCCGCTACGATCACACCCCTGTGTCAATATCGAGCTGTCGTGGCTGCTGCGCCGGCCCTAACCCTGACAACTGGACTGAACCCCTGACCCCTGAATCACTGAGCCCATTATTGTTGGCTGATGAATGAACGAGGAGACTTCTCAAGCCATTATCCAAGAAAGAGATAATATTGAGTCGAAGCTAGATCTGCCATTCTGTTTCAAGCGTCATCCATAATCAATATCAAACTTTCTAGATGCCTTCCATCTTTGGACTTGGAAATGTGGGTTAGGGGTGTGTTGCAGGTCGGCGTCACCAACACGATCGCATTGAACCCGAAGACATGGGACTGGGTAGGTAGATGATCGGCACTACCTACACTGAGGTTCTGGGTTTGAAACATGCTTTGTGCAGGGCATGCACATATGGGTAGTGTCCATCAGAGCCACACCCAGGCCAAGTGTGAGACATCGAGGTTACCAAAAGCCAGCTAAGGACGGTGGTGAAGGTACAAGGGATTTCTTGCAGACAGTTGGCTATATCCACAGCAAACTACGGGTACCTTACTCATCTCCACGTCTTTGGACATTCCTCCCCACACCAAGATCCGCTAAGCTCCCGTCACCCCTTAATCACAGCCCTAACACCTTGACTGCCCCACACCGGGAAGGGGTTGAAAAAGTCATGGTCCCAAGCAATGTCCGCTTCTGTTGTTGCGTACAGCTCCATGGTTGGGAACACTCGATCTACCAGAAGAGCTAAAAGGACGTAAAGCTCACAGTACGCGAGGCTGGATCATGTCAGACAGGGTATCTCAGAAGACGGAGGAGGTTGGATGAGGTTACTCACTTGATACCAATACAACCTCTGCTTCCCTTGGAGAAGCTCAGCAACGCTCGGTCAAGGTCCTTCCGATGCTGATTCTTCTCATCGAGCCACCGTTCCGGAATGAAGGAGTGGGAGTCGGGGAAAATGCTCTCGTCGTGATGAGTGATCACGGCAGACATGCCGATCGCATAACCCCTGGGAATCACGTACTGGGCCTTTTCTTCCTTGTTGGCGCCCGGTCGCTTCCAGGTCCCTTGATAGAAAAGGTCCTCGGTAGGAGCAACGCGAGAGCTGCGGCTGGCGAGACCATACGACAACCTCAGACCTTCGTAAAGGACAGCACCCAAATAGGGAAGCCCCTCCAACGTTTTCCAGTCTGGCACTTCGCCATTGTTTGCTCTCACAGCCTCCCTCACCTCATCTGTTAGTTTTCTCAAGATCTCCGGCTTCGTCAGGACATGATAGGTGATGACCGTCAACGCCCAGCTGACCGTTTCCGTGCCTGCCACGAAGAGGGAAAAGCCTTCTTCCACCAGGCGCTGGAGCGTCTTTTCGGCTGGCGGCAAATCCTTGTTTTGCAAAACCGAGCCGAAAACTGTTTTCTCGCTGTCGTCAACACCCTTGTCAAGATTTGCTTGAGCACGCTTGACGTAATTTGGCATGTCGACGATAAGCACGTTGAAGAGAGTCTCCATGTCTTCTGACAGACGGCGAGTGAACCTAATTGTCTGTCAGTTCGGATGCAAAATTGGAAGTCAAGAGGCCAAATTCTTACATGGCCATTGCAAACCCGGCGTGTTTCAGCCATGGAATGAAACGAAACAAGTACACCAACTTCAGCTGCGCATACAGAGGCTCTCGGAAGTTTGGCTCCCAACCTTTCTGAGCTACCAGTCCCAAGTTGTCACCGAGGCAGTAGCCCGTGATGACATCAGTGGTAAACAAGCTCAAGGCGGTAGTGACATCGAACGGGGCCTCTTTTCCGACCGTGAGAATCTTGTCACAGAGACGCTCGGCCAGATCTCGGATGGTTGGCTCAAGACGGAAGACTTGGGCGCGAGAAAAGAACTTGTTCAGGGCGTTTCGGCGCACGCGGTGGAGGTCGTGGCTGGTTGTAGAAAAGGTCGCGTTTTCGGCACTGAAAAGGGTTTTGAGTCAGTGATTGGGAACTTCAAGATGAATGTTGGCGTATTCTAAACTCACACCCCACTGCCTCGCACTTGATGCATTGGCTTGTCTCGCTTTCTGCTGCCCCCTGCGTATATCTCGTCAATGAAGTGACGATCAGCACAGTGGACTTCGTGAGGATTGATCCGGACGATTGGTCCTGGAATAGTGTCAGCCATCGAATATTGAACCATAGACTGGCGCAAATCACAAACCATATTTATCGTGCATCTTCTGGATCTGCTTGGTGTAGAGCCCTGACCTCACAACATCGTACCAGAATTCTGGTATGTATGTGGCCCTCGATAGCAGAGGTCCAGGAATGTGCGCAAGAGGGTGGAAAAACAGATTGTAGATCACCTTGACCAGGTGATAAGCCAGCCATGTCCCAGAGGAAACAAGAACAAACGATGTCAATATTTCGCCCGCTGTCCTGTTTCCACTGTAGGAGACAAACAGCTCTTGCAATGACGGTGACATATTGTTGAATAGTGAGGCTCAAATGAGCAGGTGATTTCAGTTCGAGACAGTGGCTAGGTAATCTAGAGCCTCAAGAGATAGACATGTCGGATATGTAAGACCCAATCTAGCACATGAATGCGGGGGGTGGGGGGGGAGCATCTGATAGACTGCCATGCAATGAGTACAGTGGCTATCTGCAAAGCGAAGCGACTAGGAGTGTGCTAACCAACTCGGCAGAAAATTCACCCTTGCTGAAGGGAATTTAGCCCGATCTTACTTTGAGGCTGCTCACACTGGATGTCTCCCGGACCCGCAGCACGGAAGATGGACCACCCCGCCCCGGCCCGTGGACAGGGGTCCATCGGGCATCAGGCTGCATAACGTAGATAAACATACTTAGCATTCGGCCGAGACTGTGAGCAGTACCTAGGTACCTACCTTAGCTTGAAGAGCTGTATGATTGGCCGTTAACCGCCGTGCAACCTAGATGATACGTGTGTGGAGGCTTGCCACATTTGTTGGTTTGGGGCGCAAAAAGCTCAATAATACTCATGGTGAATGAAGACGTCTTATCCGGCTGAAGTGTAGATCTTCCTTCAATCGGTCATGAGTGAATAAGACGGCCCGGTGACGTTCTGGATAATCGACCATATCCTAATGATCTAGGCGGTACCTTTGAGCGTAGCGGCATGTATGTGTCAACGCATCCGGAGGACCGTAAAATAGGAAGGTAGGTTTGATCGTCGTCAGAACTTTGGGCGGTCGGCGATGGCGAAAATATATCAGTTCAAGTAGGTATATACTCAGGTAGTGAGGTTAGTTGCTGTTCTCATTCATTACTCACTCTGTCCGTCCATTCAGCCACCGGAATATGTGATTACTTGCCTATATGCTCGGAATTCGTATCTTTGCAGATAGTGCGATCAATTAATCACCAATCCCTCTCACTACACCATTTTTTTTAATCGTGACATAGGTACGCAACCTTGTGGCTGAAGCCACCTGACGTCACCAAAATGCTTGTCCCCAAAAGCACTCACCTCAATACCTGTACTTTTTTCTATCCGTCTACTGTACCACACACCTTCCCTGCGCATTACCCAATCAGGTAGTCCTGGTATTGACCTCTGTTCTGAGACAGATGTTGACTTGCGCCACGGACCATTAGCTCTCGTTGTAAGAATGTGCAACGACAACACCAGAACGGGAAGTGAGCATATAATGGCGAGTGCATCTCACGTTATCTATCAGATGATATTAAATGGCTGGTAACCAGTCGAGCATGGGGGTCCTGCGATTGCGTATTCGTGTATCATCAGCAATGATCACCAACATCGAAGCAGGTTGTTGTTGCTTGTTTCTCTCATTGGATCAGGAGATTGCTACCGTCCAGGCAGGACTCACTATTTAACTTTAAATCATGGGTTCGTGGGGGTTTGGTTCTAGAGCCCAAGTTGTTATCTGTGTACCATACGTAGGTACGTACCTGACCACAAAGGTGATTTGATGGATTAAAGTCGGGGTTCGGCAGGTAGATAAGTCGTTGTCCAGTTGAGTAAATACATGGGAATGACACGGAGATGGGTGCGTTCAATATAGAGGACGACAGACGTCCAGATGCGGGAATAGGTAAAAGCCGACTTTCTGCCACTAACTCCATTAGTTCATGCCAATATGAACCTGCTTGAACAATACCTTCGTATCAGTCGTGGTTTGATCTAAGGGTACGTGGACCGCAGGTAAAACTTCATTTATCTGACCCAAGCTTGTTCCTACGTCTTGTGATGCGGGCAGACGGCAGTTTGGGCAGCCCCTCCAGTTGCGAATAGTGCTCTTGACCACCTAACACAGAGGACTCGGAACATGGCCCACCTCGAAGCATTGGCTGTCCATCCTGTGCTGACATACTGATCAGTAAGTAGGGTAGTGAGAGACATATGAGCAGGCCAGGTAGAAATCTTGTACGTAAAACAACCTGGAAATGCATCTGAACACGTCGTTCAGGGAGCAATATCTCGCCGAGTGCTGACAGGAGTGGATCTCGAAACTGGAAGTTGTCGACAAGTTGTGGACATCGCCTTCCGACTCCCCGTTCAGGGGCAAATAAACTTCCATGAATGCCTGCTTTGGGGTTGGAGTGCAGAGCTCGCTTTTTCAGATGCAGGACGATCCCACCCCCCCGGCGATGGGGGTATTGACTGGTGGGGGGCTCGGCAGGGCTGGCGGCTACCTGTCAGAAAACCGGGGATAACCAGCAGAAAGCCCCGGTTTCGATTTTTCAACATCCTGAAGCGTTTTACTCCCCATCGCCAGCTCTTGCTTTTTCTTGGTTTTGTTTCCAGGTTGTTGAGAATGAGTTCCCGAAAACGTAGGTCAATCGCAAGCTGCTCCAACTGCTATCTCAGAAAGTTAGTAATTGCCCCATACTTATCTCATCACTGACTGACTGACACACATTGTTGCAGGCAAAAGGTGGGTTTCACTGCCGATTCCGACCCCCGTCCCCGCCCTACCGCAGAAGCCCGTCCCCTGTTTGCTCCCCGTTAGCGCTACGGAGAGAAGAGAGCCAGCGCACTAACACCGCTAAATGCCCTGTAGTGTGATCGCACCAAGCCAGTTTGCACCTTGTGCAATCGACGTGGTGTCCCTGATGATTGCGTTTACTACTCCAACAACGACAGCCACACGTCCAGCCCGACCGCCGTCGAATCCCAACCCGAAGAAATAATACACAACCCAAGGCTTTCTGTTGCTCATGTTGCCAGACCCATCGACAAGCCAATACCACCCGGAAATGCCTTTGGCAGCGGTTTGGAGCGGGGGCCCTGGAGCGCGCGACACGAATGGTCAATATACGTCAGATCGTTAACTCCACCAACACCGTCGTCGAGACCTGTTCCGTCTCTTGCAGACTCGTTTGGATACTTCCAGTACTCCAACAGTAATACATTGGCATTGATTCAAAAGGTTGGTACCTGACTACCTTGGTTGGACACTTCTGATCGTTCTTTTCGTCTACTATCTAGTTGGGAGCAGATCACCATGATCCTTCTTCCACCGCGACAACGCGCGAGCCGACCCTGTCCCCCGAAAGCACCGACGATGTTCACCGCATCCTGGAAAGAATACCCGACCGCCAAATCCTCGACTTCCTGGTCCAGTACTTTAGGACCGAGGTGAACTGGATGGACCACTTGGTGCATATCCCTTCGTTCTACCCGCAATATCAGGCATGGTTTGCGCTTGAGCAAATAACAACCGTCGCCGAGGTCGACTTTGCGATTCTCGTCTTGCGTCTCTGCTCCTACACCTTGCAATTCCTGCCGTCTCCCTTCTATACACTGGACAAGATTCGTGGAGTACTGCTGGCCGAGATACGGACGTGTTGCGACGAGACAGCCGACAGCCTCGAGAGCATCAGCACACAGACAGACAGCCGCGGATCTCTCGTTAGGACCCAGTCTCTGGCCTTTTATGCATTGCAGTGCCAGATGGAGGGGAAGACGCGGGGTTTCTGGGAGGCTTTGAGCCGCGCTATACGGGTAGGACAGGATGCCGGTATCCATTGCGACGCTGTCAGTCATCACAAAGGCATCGACAGGGTAGAGCGGGAGATGAGACGGAGGACATACTGCAACCTCTTCGTCTGGGACTCGCTCCTTTCACGCCAACTGGATCGTATCCCGTTCATTCCTGGCCGCATGGAGGATGCAAACTGGCCAGACATACGTTTACTTCAGCCACCACATCAGAGAGACACCGAAGGGGAAATCCCAAGTGGCATGGAGCCCACCATTGCCGAGGCGCCAGATCCATTCACAGAACGCCTCCTTCAGGCCAAGTTGGCCGACTTTTGGCGCGGTGCCGGGGTGGGACAGCGCGCCGATTACGACATGAGTCTCCGAGAAGATCTCTACGAAGTCTTCAGCCGCGAGTACATCGACCGACTTCCTCCTCCTTTCGCCCTCCACAACCCGGATGAGCGGTGGGATGATCGTTTTCCCAAGCTGCGCCTCCAGCGTAAGCTTCTGCATATGGCCATTTACGACTCAATATTGTGGAATTTCCGGCCCCTCCTTCTTCGCAAGCCTTCTCCCCTACCAGCCTACAAGTCCGTCATGTTGAGCTGCCAAAAGCGAAAGCTGGCGGCAGCGGCACTGTGTGCGCTGGAGGCAGTGACACAGCTTCACGCGCTGCTTCACGGCTGCCACACACGCCTCGCCAGCATTGTCGTCACCACCTTTGAATCGGCTGTGGTCCTCGTATATCTGGCAGCTGACCAAACCTTCCCCGAGGACTGCCCCCCGCAGCATATTTCCCCGCCGGATGCCTTCAAATCGGACCCTTTGCAAGAGGGGATCTGCAAGGTCTCGCTAACTGTAACGCTGCAAGCGATCCAAGGGGCCCTGAAGCGACTCAAGATGCTTGCCGAAGTGAGCAGCATGGCAGACGTTGCAGTCACCACTCTGATACGCCTCATGAACAAGGTGGCGGTCTTGGCTACAGAACAGGAAGCACCAGAGCAGATCCACCACGCTTTCAGCAACAGGGCGGCAAGGCCGATGGTGCTTGGCACTACGCGGCCGCACGCCTCTTCCACCACTTCACTACCAACATCACAGATGAGCAGCATATCACTACCACTGGCGACCTCAGCACCTGGAGCTAACAACATTAATCCATGGCTTTCAGAGACCATGTCAGACATGAGATCAGTGGACGAGTACATGTCCGGAATGAACGAGGCTATACATGCTACCTCCGGCTCAGGAGATATCTCAGGCACCTGGCCTTCTTTTGACCCGTCACAACTATACGGACCGGGGGTTTTTGGAATTTTGGAGGAGGCATGAATTGGAAGATAAAAAAGTTACCTGGGTACAACAAACAAGACTTTTCACACACACTCGCATACCTATTCTTGTTTCTTTTGCAACTCGTCTCCACCGTTACTGCACGAACACAATATCACCTTTAGCCGGAGAGCGGACCGGAGTGGTAATCCCGAAGGCTGTTGGCCATCTCATCGGCGATAAGAAGACAGTGCCAGCAAGGAACAAGGCAGCCATACACACACCCCCCACACACACAACGACGAACAAAGCAATGCATCGACGATCGTATCCGCACAGCGAGTCGTCCCGTGTTCCCAGAGGGATTTTCATGATTCAAGCAATAAATACCACGATGCAAAAGATAAGCATAAAGTTTCTCGGGGAAACTTTGAAGTGCGAACAAAGAGGGGGACCAATCACGGCCAATAGTCGGCATGGAATCGTCGTTCCTCGATCAAAAAGCAGTTGCCTCTTTGAAGAATACACGCCATCAACATCGATACACATGTAGGCTACAACGCTCCCGGGAGGACCTTCCTGACTGGGTTCCTTGTCAGCCAAAATCCGCCGGAAGTGAAGCCCCGGACCCTGGTCCGCGGGAAGACGGGATGGGGCGTCTTTTAAACAGCCTTGGCACCTGGGCTCCCCACCTTGCGCTTGGGGGTTTGGCAGTCAATGCGGTCAAAGTTCCGCTGTCATTCCGCCCTCGTTCCGTGGTGGAAGCAGCGGGGGTTAAGGCGATGGTGAACCGATTGGCCTTTCTTTGCGAAGTTGGGTGTCAGAAGACGACGTGACGACCAAACAAACAGTCACAAGGAATTTCTCTCTCAAGGTGTCAGGACCCCAGATCAGCATGGGTCCAGCGTAACCCCCGTCGTGATGGCCGCTAATGCTGTGCTAAAACACTTGTCGTTGACAGATCCACCCTAGTTCCACGCCGCCGACCTTATTTTGACGACTTGGACTTGGCTTGCACTTGGTGGATGGTGAATGGTCCAGCTGTCGTCTTCTGGAATGTCATGGTGAGAGCCTCATTCGACTTTCACATGGCGAAAGATTACCCGAGCGCATGCGCTACCCAGCCTTGGCTGTGACCCTGCTTCCTGCGTGCCAGATCATGCCATTGTAGCCATGCGGAGATCGTGCGCTCGTGATTGGCATCTTGACGCGAGATGACTTAAACCTTGGTGGTGATACAGCATTTGGTGTTACACGGCATGAAGCCGAAGAAATGCACATGGGATGAACTGTTTCTATTCCACGTTCGGCCTGCCAGCATGTATTCACATGCACCTCGTCATCACCATTACTGGCCATTCACCAAGGCGCGTTGGTGCCATCGTACACGTTTGCCCTCCCCGGAGCGGGCTTGTCCCAGCCGTCAACGAATACCTTGGGTAGCTTCCCGTTGACTTCTTTTTGGCTCTTGTTGAAGATGATGTCGAGAGAGGCCTTGGCGCCCTGCTCAGCGGTCAAGTCGGCCATGTCACCACCTCCGAGCTCTGTCTTCATCCACTATTTCCGGGCATTAGCATTCATCATCATTCACGGGACGCCGAGCAAACTTACGCCAGGGCAGAGAGCAATGAAAGTGAAGCCATCCTTCTCGTGGTCAAGAGCCCACTGCACGGTCAGAGCGTTGAGAGCAGCCTTTGTGATCTTGTACGCGGGACCAGGAAACTGAACGAAATGCTCTGCCAGACTGATGGAGCCAAGGGTAGTGGAAATGTTGGCCACCTTCTTCAGCTGGCCCTTTTCGAGAAGTGGGAAGAAGGCTTGGGTTACCCAGTGAACGCCTTGGACGTTGACCAGGAAGCTGGAAGAGAGGTTGTCCCTTTGGAAGTGTCAGCGCTCGTTCAGGAGGAACCGATGGATCAAGAAGGCACTCACATGGACTTTGTCCCTTGGAACGCATATTCACAGATACCAGCATTGTTGATCAGGACATCGAGACCCTTGCCGCCGAGCTTGGCCTCTGTCTCGGCAGCGGCCTTCTTGATGGACTCTTGGTCTGTCACGTCAAGCTTGACCCATTCGGCACGGCCAGAAGAGCTGTTGACAACTTCACTGAGGGCTGAAGAGTCGCTGCGGGAAGAAGCGATAATTTTGCTGACTTTGGAAGTGGGCAGAGCTAAAAGCTCCTTGACCAGAGCCAAGCCGAATCCTCTAGAGGCACCGGTGATGAAGAAGGAAGCCATGGTTGTGAGTTTGTGTATGCAAGCTTGGAAATGGTGTCGATTTCGTGCGTGCGTTAGTGAGTATGAGATTTCTGGTGGTTGTGTGGGCTATAGATGGACCTCACTCAGAATATGCAGTGGAGGAAATATGGGATACCCGATAATGTATAGCGGCCAAGCCATATCACGGTACGCATGCGGTTAGGGCCAGAGACGGAAATGCAGGCCATTTCCATGATCCCAGGATTTGTCAGCGAGGGGGTGGTTGAGAATGACCAATGGTTATGGTGGGGAATATGCGGCTCGATGGTGGATGATCTGCCCTTCTTTGTTTGTTTAATGGATGCATTTGCGACCGTCACCAACAAGTTTCCAACATGGCAAATGAGGATGAATACAGTTCTATGATTGGACAAAGACAACGGGAGGATGCGTGGAAACTTTCGACCGATGCCCGATGGTTATGTCCGATATCAAATCGGATTTCGACAAACGCGATCATATCATCCCACACCCCTGCGCTGCCTGCTTTGTTTTGGCCACAATGGCGGGTCAGGGGTTGAGGCATCGCTGTACTTGTCGGTATCAAATTTGTTCGGCCGACTGTGCTCGACGATACTGGATGAGCAAGTTGCACCAATCACGAAATAAACAAGGGCTCTATGAGCCTAGATGAGATACCTGATGCTATGTTCAAGACTGCAAATAGATCGGGCATAAGGTAGGTTTGGCGCTATACTTTCTCCATCTCGATCATTTGCCAAAACTTGAATCCTCCACTGCTTTTGTGTCCACATACCTACCTGAGCAATGTCAGCAAAAGCTTCGTCCGTATCACTATCACATGAGAAGATGAGCTCAGTAGGCTCAGATTGGAAACTCACCAACGGCGCAGGCTACATCCTCGACCGTGACCGCAGCCACGCCGCCGCCTCTCGTCTCAACCTCCAGTTCTACCTCTGGAAAGACAGTCTTGGATTCAACATCCACCCGACCATCTCACAGTCACTATTTCCTTCCACCAAGAGCAATGAGCTCGTCGGCAGCCAAAGCCCCGTCGCGATCTGCGAGGTAGCCTCGGGGACTGGGATCTGGTTAACCGACGTTGCTCGCTCCGTCCCGCCGTCCACCATTCTCACCGGTTTGGACTACAACCTCTCGCAGTCCCCTCCGGCAGCATGGCTTCCCCCCAACATGTCCATGCGCCACTGGAACGTTTTCGACCCCGTGCCCGAGGATTTGGTCGGCAAATACGACTATGTCCATACTCGCCTGCTCGTCTTGGTAGTCGGAGAGTCCAAAGACCCGGGTCCAATTATAAGGAACCTCTTCAAGTTGCTCAAACCAGGCGGCTGGCTACAATGGGACGAGTTGGACACGGTGAATATGTCTATCCAAAAGGTCGACCCGGCACTCGAGACGCCAGCGTTGGAAGAGCTGAGGAAGTGGTCTTGGGCGGATGGGAGGCTGGACTGGACGGTGAAGCTGCCTGAATTTATGGAGAAGGAGGGGTTCACAGAGGTGAAGGGGGATCTATTTGGGGATCCGCCCGCGTTGGCGAGGGCGTTCACCGAGCAGCATTTGCTGACGGCGGAGGAGTTTGCGGAGGGGTTGATCAAGCTGGGGAAGAGGGAAGTGGGGGAGAAGTATTTTGGGTTGGTGCACAAGGCGCACCAAGAGGCTATTGAGGGGGCGGCGCTGTGTGTGCCGAGGATTGTTTGTGTGGGGAGGAAGCCGCTATAGGGAACGAGCATGATGTTTGACGATGAGTAGAAATCGCATGATGCAAGGATATACCGTAAGAAATTTGCTAAATGAATGCGACTTATCTGAGACTGGTTTGAGCAAAGGACTTTCTAGTTACCTGGCAGGAATGGACCTCGACAGACTGAGGGAAAGGCGGAAGGTTATGTGCATTCGACATTTCCATGAGGGTCGGTGACGGCTGACTTCTTCATACCTAATGTGCTGTGGTCTACAACGAATTCACTCTCAATCATCCGGGTCGTTGCTGAGATTTTTCTGCATGCTCCGAAGCCTCGGCCCGGGCCCGTACGGGTTTGGAAACTGACAAATGTGGGTGGAGGACGCATCACATCACAGCTCTCAGCACGCATGGCTGCAGACACTAGAGATCTAGACCGTCTGTGATACCCACTTATCAGCTCAGCCAGCCATTCGGACGAATCACAGCATTGTTGCGACCCGTCAGCTCTGTGCAGTCTCAAAGGCTTGACTCCTTTCAGACAAAATGGGGTCTTTAATGCACAGTCAAACTCATAGTTGAGTTAAGCCTTCTGTAAAATCCATCAATATTGCGCTTTTGCTGCATCCTTCCTGTCACTAGAGAAGCTGAAAGGAAACAAGGAGTTAGACTCGAGCGATGAAGATGCATCATTACATCCAGTGGCAAGCTGAGCTATGCGAAAAGAGGGGTCCAGAGCACAGGAACATCGAGGCCGTTGAGGCCAGTTTGTCATGCTCAGTGGGAGTGCGAGGGCATATAAAACAAGACATCGAAACCCCAACTTTCGTTTGTTGTTGTCCAGCTCAATAGGCACCCATCAAAGCCCCGGTCGAACCCCCTCATACCACCAGCCCAACCCAGCACGATGTCGGAAGAGCGTCCCAGTCATGTTGTCATTCAGGGCATCCTGCCCAAGGAGGCTCCCGGCATCCGAAGAGAATTCTCCTACTGGGCCAAAGACCATGAGAACAACATTCAGGTGTCTCTCTTCATCCGCGCCCTGCAAAAGTTCTACGACATCCCCTACACTGAAACCCTCTCCTACTTCCAGGTCGCTGGTATCCACGGCTACCCCGGAAACCTGAAGTGGGACGGCGCTGTTGCTCCTCCTCACGACAGAGACGCGAGGCATTACATCTACTGCACCCACAATCACTTCAACTTTCCCACTTGGCACCGTCCTTACATGGTCCTGTTTGAGGAGACCCTCTGGAAGCTGATGGGGGAGGTCATCGAGAAGGATCTCGAGTTTCACGATGATGCTGACAAGAAGCTGTGGCTTGAAGAGCGGAACAAGTGGCGACTTCCTTACTGGGATTGGGCTCTCAACTCGGCCCAGGGCAAGGTTCCTGATCTATTCGTTCCCTACAGCATCAACATCAGGCAGCCTGTGGGGAAAGGTGGATCTCAGCAGGAGTCGGAGAATGTCCCAAATCCGCTCGCCCGTTTCCAGGTCAAAGAGAACGGTGTGCCCATCAAGATGGGCAAGCTTCCCAAGAAGTACAGGGTTGATAGCGTCCCGTTGGGTGATGGCAGCTACCTGCCTGTGAGTCATTGAAACCGCTACCCTCGTGATTGCGCTCTAACAGTATTTGCACCACAGTGGGCAGAATGCTCCGGCACCAGCCGCTGGGGCATCAAGCCTCACACCCAGCCTGACGAATGGACCGAGGGCGTCAACAAGACCGAGATGATCGCCCCCGCCATCAACAACCACGAGTGGTACTTTTCGCCAGACAGAAGGAAGCCCGAAGACCGGAAGAAGAGAGAGGAGGCGATCTTCAAACACCCAGTTGGGGATCTCCTTCATCGCCTTTTCAAAATTGACAACTGGGAAGACTTCTCATCTACGCGAGTAAACCAGGCGCCCAGCGACATAGACTGGGAGAAGTGGGTCTCGCTGGAGTATGTCCACAACAACCTGCATGTGAGCTGAGTGTCCAGGTCCTTTTCCATGCCAAAGTCTCAGTTGAGCTGACGACAACCAGGGGTTCATTGGCGGCGACGGTGTCGAGGGCATTGGACACATGCAAAACGTTCCTTCGGCCGCGTTTGACCCCATCTTTTACATGCACCATTGCAACATTGATCGCATCACCGCCATGTGGCAGACGCTGCACGAGGGTGTCTGGTTTGAGAACGATGTCCTCGCCGAGAGAGAGCTCTACCCCTTCCGCGGGCCAAAGCTGGACGGCGAGATCGACTACTTCACGTCCAATGATGTGCGGGACTGGACCCGGTTCGGTTACCAGTACGAGATCCTCGAACTCAGAGATGGGGAGACCGAGGTGGGACGCAAAAGGCGCATCAATGAGTTCATCGACAAGTCGTACTTCAGCACCGCCCAGGTCTTGCTCAAGGACGAGGGTCACTTGTTTCACGATGGTTCAGATATCGAATCCTTCGCCGCCCGCAACGACTTTGAGGATTACATCATCGATGTCATCTATGACCGGCAAGTTATTCATCTCACGTTGTTGATCGCCCTATCCGTTGCTAACAGGGTCTCAAAGCTATGCTCTGAATGGAGATCCCTACATGATCCATTTCTTCCTCGGTGCCCCGGTGCCTCAGCCCGAGTCCAACGGGGTGACGGCCAAGATAACCTTCAAGTCACCCAAGCACGTCGGGATGGTCTACAACTTCTCGACTCCTTGGCTCGGAAACGGCAACAACACCGAATCGGCCATGTCTGACGTGGAGTCTGACGGGGAGGAGCCTGAGCCGGAATCTGACCAGCCCACGTGCGGCAACTGCGTGTCCCAGCAAGCGGAAAACATCCTCAGCAACGCCATGATTCCCTTGACGATCCCACTCTACAATGCCGCAGCAGACAAAGACATCGAGGGCCTCGAAAACATCCACCCGGATCAGGTCAGGGACTTCCTCGCCAACGAGCTTACCTGGGTTGCCGTGAGCGTGAGTAGCCACCTCTCTTCCCACTACAGGTCTAAACTGACTCCCGTGGTGCTGTAGACGAACGGCACAATCATCCCCTGGGAACACCTCCCCAAGACCAAGGTTTTCGTCCTCAAGGGCAAGGCCAAGCATTACACCGAAAACTCGAAGCTGTCGTCGTACAAGGAGTATGACGCTTTGGGCCACATCACGCACAACAAGCTAGCCGGTGCTTCTCATGCCGACTATGGACAGTATGCTTGATTGGAGATTGGCCTGAGCAAGAAGGCATGGCTGGACAGTAGAGGACAAGTGATCAGTTTAATTCAGTACGTACGTGGTAGTCAAATGAATCGAAAGGTTTAGGGTATATTATACAATAAGTCCAGTCAGCTATAAGCCTGAACAACATCTTTCCGATGTAACATGGATATGAACAGGACGCAGCGAAGTGAAATCGGCCGGTAAAATTCCTCCTTCCGCCAATCTGGGTCTCGGTATTGGTGGCTTGATGAACTGCAACACCCTTGAACCCACAAGCTGGGTGGGCTCTTCTTCTGGCTCGTTCACTTTTGGTACCTGCGAGGAGCGCGGGGCTGAAAACTGAGTCATTGGCGTGAGCAGGGAGGGGATGTAATCTTCAGTCTTGTAGGTTGAAGAACACGTCAGATCGCCGCTTTGGGTGGGTGGGGTTGGTAGTTGGGGTGGGGGTGACACCCTCCGGCGCCGAGGTCGTTGAGATCTCCTTTGCTGCCTTGGGTTTGAGGCGGCAGGCTCCGGTGTTGAGTGGTGGGAGCGCAATCGTTGTGATCGCCTGCGCGGCGTGTTGTCGGCTGCCGCTCCTTGCATGTCTTGGCGGATATCTCTTGGCGGTGTCCTGGGCACCCACCCACACAAGTTGTTGACAGTCGGACACATCTTTTGTATCAGGTTGCGCACATCGTCCAAAATGCGGTCGGACTCGATAGACATGGAGTAGTTCTCGAGGTACCGACAGAACATGCGATAGAACTGGAGGTATTGCCCTATTTCGACTTCGATTGGCGTCATCCATCTGATGCATTCGTCAGAATATGTGTCATGTTGGTCTTCTCTAGCATCCTGACAGGTCCGGACAGCGAGGTGCAAAATGTGGTTGATGGTGTGGTCTACGTGGTGGTCAACACCATAGGCGTGATGGAGCATGATAGCTTCAAAAAGCTGGTTGATATGTGGTAGCAGGTGCAGGTTGTGAAGCTTGGCGGGTGGGCTGTGCATCGCATGTCCAGCGACACAGATGGTCTTGAAAGCATCTTTCCAGCGATATTCGTCCAGGTATTGTATTGCGGACGTTAACAGCTGGGTCTCTGAAGACGGCAATCGTACATATGGCCCCAAAGGTGATGGTAGTGGCGAGGGTGATGGTGATGGTGATGGTGATGGTGATGGTGATGGTGATGGTGATGGTGATGGTGATGGTGACGTGGTGGACATAATAATATGCCAAATTGTGGGCGGGATGAGGGTGTTGACCACCTGGGACTGATAAATGAACTCTCTCCCGTATAGAGATC